TGAACACCTGGTGAATGTGAGGAATCTCCTCCTCCACGAGGCAAGTGAGCTTCGGATGTGGTCAGAGAGCAGGATCATCAGCTCACACATCTTGAGGGGAAGATCCACAGTGAATGTGAAGTCAGGAGTGAGGAGGGAAATCCGACACATGCTACAGCATGGATGAACTCAGAGGATATTATGCCAAGTGGAATTAGCTAACTGTGAAAAGATGAACTCTTCTACAAAGGACTTAAAATAGTAGAGCTGACAGGAGTAGAGGGCAGAAGGATGGTTTCAGGTTTGAAGGGAGAGGCAACAGGGAGTTACTGGTTAGTGAGCACAGCCTGTCAGCTGTGCAAGATGAAATACTTCAGAGATAGATGATGCCAGATGTAACGTGTATGGTTTTTCTGCCTGCCGCCGCTGGTTTTGTCCTGCTGCCACGCCACCAGCCCCAAATAACACACAGAGACTCTGTATTTGATACAATACTGTTGGCCCGGTTACTTGTTACTTATCGGCTAGCTCTGCCTTTAATTATTAACCCATTTCTATGTATCTTCACATGGCCTTCTCTTACCGGGGAGGCGGCTGGCGTCCAGCTCTCTCCAGACTCTCCATCTTGACTCTCCTTCCTACTTCCTATTTCCTCCTTGTCTCCTAGTCCCTCCTATCTTCCTTTCCTATTGGCCAACAGTGCTTTATTATTAACCAATATGAGAAACATATATACATAATTGCATCTCCCATCAGCCAGATGCTGGGTGCCTGATACCATTGAAACATGTGTGAAAAATGGTTGAGGTGGGTATGTTCTTATTATTTGTGTCTCATGCTATGGGCACTTTGCAATAATTTAAAGATGAAAAGAAACCTAGGTGTAACCAAAAGTTGGTGAGAAGCATTCAGAGAGTTTCTGAGAATAGTGACAGTATTGGGATGGAAAGGGGGGCTGTGACCCAAGAGCTCAAATCTTCCTTCACGTTGGGGAGTGGTTGAGAAGCTGGCAGAAGATAGGCAGGAAGAGGGGGCAAGGTAGTAGTGGGGGCAGTGCCGTGGTTTATGTGACTGTGTCCCCTGTAGATTTGTGTGCTGAACAATTTACTCTCTATGTATGATACTCTTTGGGATGTGGAGCTCACTGGGAATGGTTTGGTTTTAGAAGGCACTGCCCTCAGAAGGATTAATGTAGTTCTCTTGGAATCCTGATTAGTTTATGCAAAAATGGATTGTTATATAGAGAAGTTGGGCTATGTGTCTGGCCTTTTCTGTACATGGCTTTGTTATGTGTGAATACAATCAAGGGGACTTTGACTAGAAGCCAAACAGATGAGATTTCTTGATCTGTGGCTTTCAGCCTCTGAAATGTGAGTTAAACAACCCCCTTTTCTCTATCAAGTTCCAGCCTTGGGTGTTTTATAGCAACAAAATAGACTAATGCAAGCAACACTTGCAAGAGGGCTGGGGAGTGGCGTCTGCATGTTGCAGTGGGGAAAGGGGGCTCCTATTGTACCTACGCTTTGAGAATTATAAGAGATGAGAAAAGGGTCGGGTCCAGTTGAGAAGTGGCAGGAGATAGACATTAGGGGAAATTCAAGTTTCAGTTACTGTGTAAGGCGGCAAAAGAAACTGACTGAGTGACTAAAATTGTCAGAATGTCCTGGGTCTTCATGGAAAGGAGGGGCAGTCATTGCAGAACACTTGGTTCAGTAGAAAGTTAGAGATTAGAGTATAAGAGAACCCATGACTTTATATCTTTAACCTTCTGGTGTTGAGGTTCTGAAGGGCACCGTAGGCTTGGAGAGATATGTTCCAGTCCTTGGTAGTGGGGTCAGAGCTTGGGCCTAGCCATGACCACCCCTCCCTCCAAGACTCTATTTCACAGGTGAATGTTGAAGCAAATTCAGACATTTTGATGACTCCCGTGTTCCCAGAAGCTTGTGATGGGCCCCAAGAGAGACTTGTGTCTTCCACTCTCATTCCCAGGTTGTTCAGGCATAACTTTAGACCTTCTTTGAACCAGTTCTCCAGGAACGGAATCAGAACTGTTTGCCAGCTTTGGCTTAGGTCAATGTCTCAGTTAAGAGGTTTGGAGAAGGTAGATGATATGCCAGGTGAAGCTGGGAGCCACGTTTAGGTTTCACACATTTTCATGGCTATGTGGTATGTGTTAACTCAGGGCACCGATAGAGGGACAAGCACTGCCCATATGCTGCATTAAAGTGTTAGTTGTAGAAAGGGGAACCTAACAGGAAATAATTGCTAATGAGAGATGAAGGGTGGGGATGAGAGAGTAAAGGAATGAGAGATGAGTGGGAGTCACATGGAGACAGCAGACTCTGTTCTTTCTCCTCCACCTTAGAGGCATAGAATGGGTCAGTCAGGGCAACCTCCTCACTTCCTCCTTCTGAGAAAGAGCAGAGTCATGTGGGCAAACAAGTTCAGCTTTTGGTAAGTACTGGCTCCATTGATATAGAAGAAGTGTTGGATGGGCGAGCTTTCTTTTCTTGGCTGGAGATATAAAAACCATGAAATTAAGTTCTGGGAAGTGTCTTCTGGGGAATCTTCCAAGTGTAAGACACTTAGGAACAAGGACACTTGGGTAACTTTTCATGGCTAAAATATAGACCCTAGGAAATTGTGGCATGGATGTTCTATGGTGTCTTCAAAGTATACAGGGCTGTACCTGGGATGAGCTTGCAGACTCTTACGTGCTCTGCTTCTGAAGAGCCTGTGGATTTCTTGGGGTTTTGACATGTTCTGCTCAGAAATATCTTTGTGTCTGTCTAGTTTCATCCCAAGGAAGCAGAACAGCATGGCAGATAACCATAGTAGAACGACCCCAATCCTAAAGTTCAGGGTTTACTGCACCCGAACCCTTCTTCCCCACCCTGTCTCTCTTTCCGTTCCAAACGTTCTCCAAATCAACCTGAGTCCATATAGGGACCTGGAAAAATCCTGGGAGAAATTTAGAACATCTCTTGGACACAGAAGTTGGGGGTACATGTGGCCTAGAATGGTCCTTCTATTAAACAATGTGTTATGGTATGGGTGTGCCGTATCCAGGAGAGCTCTTTCCACCAGGAACCACTTGCTTCTCATTCCATCCTCTGGCCTCATGCCATGAGCAGTTTCATTCCCCCCATCACCTTCCAAATTCATGTACTGGGTTATAACCCCTGCTATCTCAGAACATGACTGCATTTGGAGATAGGTCTTTGAACAGGTAACTAAGGCAAAATGAGGTAAGGTCATCCTTTAATCCAGCCTCACTGATATCTCTCCAAGAAGAGGCAAGCAGGACACAGATAAGCATCAGGAAGATGTGAAGAACGGGGGAGAGGGAGGAGGGCCACCACAATCCAAGGAGTGAGGTATCAGACAAAGGCTATAGCCATCCCCACCCACTGATCTTACATTTGCAGAACTGTCAGGAAATTAATTTCTGTTGTCAAAATCAGCCAACCTGTGGCAGTTTGTTAAGACAGCCTGAGAAGACAAGGAAGCCCTATCTAGGAACACTTTTATTAGATGAATGTAGGGCTAGGCTAATACTTGTCCCACCCTGGCAATCACAGAGTAGGATATGCAGACTGGAAAGGCTGTGTGGAGCTATCTGTGGAAGGAGACAGTGTCTTCCCTGGTCTCCCTGACTCTTCTCCACTAGAAGCTGACCCTGGGGGACCAGGAGTAGAAACATGCATCACACCCTGCAGTTATGGAAGCAGGCTGCTGCACAGGATGGCAAACACCGAGACCATGAGTTTTGCAAAGGAGAAAAATCATATTTGAAGGCAGCTGAGGTGGACTCATAATCAAGTCCAATTCCTGGAGGGTAGGGTCTGGTGACATTTATGGGACAAAGAAGCAGGTGGGGGAAGGGTGGTCGAGGTGATGTAATTGGTCTTCATGGCTCTTCACGGGCAGCATGTTCAGAATATTCCAGCGGTTAGAATGTTCTGAAAGTAGAAGTTTTGATCCTCTGATGTCACAAGCTCACCCACTGGTCACCTGCTCAGATCCAGATGAGTCAATTTCAACAAAAAACCTTCAAGTTTCAGAGAAGTGACCCAGTCAACCATTATCACCAGAACCCCCATGCTAGAGGTGTTTGTGTCAGAGAGTGGAGGGCCAAGAGCCTGCCCAGCTGTGTGGCCTCTCAAACGAGAGATTTCTAGAAAGTCAACTAGAAGCGGGGCTAGGAAGATAGTCCAGGAGTAAAGTGCTTGCTAGGCATGCACGAGGACCTGAGTTTGATCACTGGTACCCATGCAATGGTGTGTGCAATGGTGCTCACCTCTAACCCCAACATGGGGCAGCAGATGCAAAAACATCCCTGGGACTTGCTAGCCAGCTGCTCTTGATGACCTAGCAAGTTCCAGATTCACTGAGAGAGCCTGTCTCAAAAAATGAGGTGGAGAGCAATTGAGGATGACACTGAACTTTGAGCCCTGTCTGTCTGTCTGCTGTCTGCTGTCTGCTTCTCTCTCTCTCTCTCTCTCTCTCTCTCTCTCTCTCTCTCTCTCTCTCTCTCTCTCTCTCTCTCTCTCATGAACCTCCCCACACAAAAACAGAAATAATATAGAAGTCAGTCAGCTAAAAGCAAGTTATTAACAGCAAGTGAAGCTAGATGATATTTATTTATATATGTCACAGTTTTTGTGGTGGTGGGGGATCGGAGCTGGTGGCTCATTTAAGGTAAGTAGCGGCTCTACTGTTAAAGTCCTTACATTTTGGATCCCTTTAAAACATACGAAGCAAAATATGGCTTGTGGGAACACTCAAAGCCACACAGGCTTACACTAGAGCTCAGGAATCTCTTACTTTTTTTCCTGACCCAAAGGCTCATGGGGTCTCCCTCAGAGCCTATGGGAGATGAACGAGTTCCATAAGAATAGAAGTTTCTGGGCTGGACTGGGAATGGCAAGGGGAAGTCTGAGCCTGTGAAGAGACTTCAGAGACAAAGGGCAGCTCTGAGTCTGAGTTTCTAGTTGTCACTGCGGCTGGCTCCTCCTCCAATGCAGAGGAGCCCAGTCCTGTCTGAGTTACTGAGCTTCCTGGGGAGGGAGGAAACAGTTAACGTCTCAGGGCAGCTGCAATCAGCTAGGCGGGGCTCTTTGGTCTGACTTGGGCTCACAGATCCCAAGCCAAGGGGCAGAGGAAGGACGCTGTAGTCCACAGAGCCTCCAGATGGCTGAACTGGATCTGATTGCCCCAGGACCACTGACCGGGGTCACCGTTCATCCTTTGGCTCCTCTCGGCCCAGGCCCTGGGTCAGCTATCCCAGTAGAAGAGGATGTGGACTCTGTGGGGAAGTCAGAAGAAGAAACCCAGGAGCAGGGCTGTGATCCTGCAAAGGTCGGGGCTCCTGGTGACGAGGGGTCGGAGGAGATCCTGTGTGACTTCTGTCTCGGGGCCAGCAGAGTAAGGGCAGTGAAATCTTGTCTGACCTGCATGGTGAATTACTGTGAAGAGCACCTGCGGCCACACCAGGAGAACAGCAAACTGCACAGCCACCAGCTGACAGAACCGGCAAAGGACCAGGATCTGCGGACCTGCCCTGCCCACCACAGCGTTCTGGTTGCCTTCTGCCACACACACCAGCAGTGCATCTGCCAGACATGTGGAGAGGACCAGCACAGGGGTCACGACACGGCCTCCCTGGACGCAGCCCGCAGGAACAAAGAGGTGAGTGATGGGATCTGTCCACACGGGAGGGGCGAGTGGGAGATGGTGCCCCTAGGGAGAGGCCAGACATGCCACCACTCCTGGATCTGTTGATGTCACTTTGTGTTCTGGGTGTTGGTCCGGTGTAAGTAAATATCTATCTATAGCCGTTGGCTTTGGAAACAAAAGTGGGTCACTGTCCCCATCTCTGTGTCCCTGTTGCTGTGCTGTGTCTATTGCCTCTGTCCCTGCGTGGGAATTTCCTGCTGTTTCTTGCTGGCTTTGGTAACTTGTGTTTGGGTGTGGGTTGTAGAAGTTTTGCCTCAGGAGGGTGGTATTTCCCTCTGACAGGATCTGTGAAGCTTGTTTTACTGTCAGCCCACGAAATACAAACCTTGGCAGAAGTCCAAGAGAAAAGAATAAACCTCGTTTCATTTCTTGTTTTCTTTTTACCGCAAAAGAAGCCAGTAAAAAAGGCTGCATTAGAGTTAAAAAAAAAAAAAAAAAAAAAAAGCAAGATAACAGATTTTGAAACACGCTGAGGTTAATGCTAAGAACAATTTAACTTACTGGAAAATAAAAGTTTCTTAGCAGATAGGACTATGAGGAATTGCTAAGAAATACTGTGCTCACAGTCTGAAATTTTACTTCCATCAGCTAAAGAAACCATTTCTGGAACACTGCTTACCTTTGTCCTCAAGCCAAAAAGCCCAGACAAGACCTTGGGGATGATCCCACAGTTTTACATGGTTCTTTCTCCCACTTTGAGCTTTTCCTGGTAGGAAGTGAGGTTGACTCTTGTCCAGCAAGTCCTTCCCAGTCAGGGCAGTTCCCTCTTTGCAGTGCTGACAGGGCCACCGTCATTCTGTGGCATGTGTTCCTGGGCAGTTAAAGGAAGAGGTACCTGGGTAAAGGACTTTCCACCCCAGGCTACTTCCCCTGTTCCTATGCCAGAGGTAGATTCTCTATAGTCCTGGTGGGCGTTGTTCAGGAAAGTTCTGCATTCCAGATGCTAGTGAGTCACCATTTCCGGTATGGGAATCTACTTGCTGACTGTTTCCATTATCAAGGGATGTCCTGTGAGGGAAGTACAGAAATCAGCAAATACATAAAAACAAAGGGCCCCACCCAATGAGGGAGACAGCCCTTGCTGGGCATTGCCATTTCAAAAATACTTTTTATGGAATTTTTTTCCCATCCAAAATTTCAATATGAGGGCTCTGATTGTCTTTACTGTACTTGTTCAAGTTCACACAGTTGAATGAGGCACTGAAGCTTCTAGAATGCCGTCTTATTGGAGAAAAAATGTAGGAAAACTCAAATCACAACATTGTAATCTTAATATTTGTTTTATATGTGGATGTGTGTTCATGTGGATGTATATGTTTGTGTGCATGCATGTGGAGGCGGGGCTAACTTCAGATATGTCCTATAGGTATGCAGTGAAATATGATTATATGTACCTCCCTACTTCTTCCTCCAACTCTTCCAGATACACCCAATCTGTCCCCTCTCAACTCATCAATTTTTGTTTTTTTTATAACCCACTAAGTCCAGTTAGTATTGCCTATTTAAGCATGGGTGTGGGGTCATCCACAGGAACATGGGAACTCTACCAGGACATATCCCCAAAAAAGAGAGTAATCACCTACCCTCCCACCCCCAGCAAGTATCAACTGCCAACTAGCTCCCTGTGTTTTGAGGTAGGGCTTCTTCTCATTTGGATGTAAGTTAACCAAACAGTCAAGGCTGCCTGACCAGCAAGATCCAGGGATCCACCTGCCTCTGCCTCCCCTGAACTGGATTACAAGTACATAACACTATACCTAAATTTTTTTTTAAAACCTGAAATTTGTTTTAGATTTATTTTATGTGTATATTTTATTTTCAGAATGTATGGGCATCACCTGTGTGCCTGGTACTTGTGGATGTCAGAAGAGGGTATCAGATCCCCTGGAACGGGAGTTACGGACAGTTGTTGAAAACCAAATCTAAGAGTCTTCTGCAACTGCAGCAAGTGTTCTTAATGGTTGAACCATCTCTCCAGCCCCCCCAGCTTTAAACAATATTTATTTTCTATATATATATATATATATATATATATATATATATATACATATATATATATGTGTGTGTGTGTGTGTGTGTGTGTGTGTATGTTTTGTCTACATGTATGTTTATGCACCACTTGCATGTCAGGTATCAGAAGTACAGACGGTCGGGAGCCACCCTGTGGGTGCTGTGAATTGAATCCAGGTTCTCTGGAGAGTAGCCAGAGCTCTTAAGGCTGAGCTATCCCTTCAGCATCGCCAGCTTTTTCAAATGTAAGTTCTGGGTATTGAATTTAGGTCCTCATGCTTGCCTAGCAAGCACTTTACTGACTGAACTGTCTCCCCAGACCTAACCTTACTTAAAAAGAATAACAAAACAACTTTTAAAACAGATAAACAAAGCTGGGAGGTGGTGGCACCTACCTTTAATCCCAGCACTCAGGAGTCAGAGGCAGGCAGATCTCTGTGAGTTGGAGGCCAGTCTACTCTACAGAGCTAGTTCCAGGACAGCCAGGACTGTTACACAGAGAAATCCTGTCTGGGAAAACAAACAAACAAACAAACAAACAAACCAACAAACAAAAGCTTCAGATAAACAAACCACCACCACCAACAAAACAACCATGATCTTGTATACAGACATTAGACACATTTGGGCATAGCATGTTGCTATTCTCTTTGGATATAGTATCTGAATTTTACGAATTTTTCACTGGAAAACCTATGCATGAAGATATTAAAGACAATCTCTACTAAACAATGCAACTGATTTGAGTAGGAAGGAAGTTCTTCAGCCTAATTCCAGATCCCATATCCCTTTCTTCTGCTCAGAACTATGTCTGGTTCCCTCAGAAATGCTCTAAGTCTGTACCAACACAGATGCAATACAAACTGAAGGCTACACCACCCAGTGTCACAGAGATTTGGGTGAGCATTTTAGATAGGAGGAGCAGTGTGGAGCACAGAGAGCCCCAGATGCAGACATCTTAGGAGACAGCTGTGAAACACAAAATGCTAGCTGGGAGGCTGTGTATGTGTGTGGGGTACAGTGCCACAGATTTGTGTCATGTGCCCCTCTCTTTCTGGTTTGCTTTAGAGAGCTGTGTCCTTCCCACCCTATATCCTTATTGTCAGCCCAGAGAGCAAGTTTACTCTGTAGGTACAGCCACACTGAGTTACTCCACCAAGTCTTAGAAGCCAAAAGATTTATTGCAAGGAGCCCTAGAGCCCAGCTCAGGAGACAGTATCCTGGAGAGACAAGCACTATTAGGATTGTTTGGAAAGACTTATTTGACATATTGAAGGTTTCAGAGGGGTAATGTTCCTTTCAGCTACCCCACACCTCCAGGAAGAAAACTTGCTTTCTGAAGGTCAATCTGGAGCCAGTCAAGGGCTAATAACTCATGCAGGCATGTTGTGTACAGGAAAAGGCAAAGTAAGGTCAGCTGGGAGGGTACAGAGTGACGTTTCTGTCAGCCATCTGTGTGCTTTCGGAAGTGCCCATGGTTACCACCAGTTAGACTGACCGGTGAAAGCGAGGCGTCTAGAGCTGGATGTGTGTGACCACTGACTCCATTCTGATGAACTTCCAGAGCTTGGCTTCTCCTGATAGAGACTTTGGTGCTCCCCTTAGCTCGATATCAGCGTCCTGAGACCTCCTTTACCTTGTCAGAATTGCAGGCCTGCCAGTGAGGAAATGAGATCTCCATCTCCACTGTTGTCCCCAGCCTGCCCCCGTGTGTGTGTGTGTGTGTGTGTGTGTGTGTGTGTGTGTGCGCGTGCGCGCGTGTGTGCACGCACACACACACACACAATTTAGGTTCCTGGGACTACTTTGGTTATTTTATTTTCTCTGCCACATGAAGTGCATGTGGTTCCCTCCTGCTCCTCAGAGTGCATCTGATGGGTTAAGCCGTTCGTTGGTTGTACTGTGTGCCCTCAGAGAATTTGGGCTCAGGAAGCTATGACACATACTATGATTTCATGGCATGCCAAAGGGTTGGTACAACACAATTGCTGTTTGAAGTGGGGATCTGGTCTGGAAGTGACTTCTGGGCCGTGCTCCTGGAGGAGGGAAGGCCTGAATTAAACCATGCTTTAGGCCTTTGAAGACCACTAGTGCCAGGTCACCAGCTCAAGCTTAGTATTGATTCCAGAAGGTCAAGGTGGATCCTGATTGCATACGGTCTCCATGAAGAGAAGGTACCAACCATTGGAGAACTGGAAGGTTTTGTGCTTGTCTGGAGAGCTGTTACCCAGCATCACCCAGTGTGTTTGCTGGTAGTCAATAGGTGGTATGGGGCCTCTGGGGATAGTAATTTTTCACAGAAACTCAAGTGAGTGTCTTGGGGACAGTATTATGTAACTTGTTTACTCACACGCACCAGACTATCCTGCTACGTTTTCCAAGAGCCATGAGTGCATGACTTAATTTATCTTTCTGGCATGCAGTAGGTCTTGGTCCAGCCATGGAGGAATGGAGTCAGAGTCCAGGTCTAACTCATGTGATATTAAAGTCAGTCTTACAGCAGAGTAGAAACTAAATGACTCGACAAGGTGCTACAGCCAGGAACAAGGTCTTCACACCCCAGTATGGTCCTTTCTCAATGCTCTTCCACTCTGTGCCTCTGCTAGAAGCCGCAGCTGGCTATGCTCCCAGCAGCTCTGTCTTGTTCTCAGGCTGGGTACACCAGGGCCTGAGATGAATGCAGGGTTGCTCTCTTCGGGGACTCTGAGGTCAGAGACTAAGGCAGCCCATCATTTTCTAGCAACAGGAATAACTGGAGAGACAAGACTCTGAGGCAGCCCCACCTTTGTGGTAATCCGGAATGGTGACTCAGAGGGACCCTCCTATGGTGTGTAGGCATCTCTTTCTCCTTTTGTGGAACTCTGAGAGCAGAGGCGAGAAGTCCCTTGCTGGACACCTTGGGTATCTCTCGGAGGCTTAGCTAGAATAGTCACTTTAAAACATACTTGTGGTACCGCTACTCAGTTGACCTAAGCTGCTAGGACGTGCTCTGTCCTGTCTTCCAGTCTCTTCAAAGAAACAGTTCACTTTTCCCTCCTTGACCCCGGGGACTGGGTCACTGCAAAAGATCCCGAGATTGCCCTTAAATAGGCCAGGCACTCCTCTCCTCTCCCCGCTCCCTGCTCCTAGGCATCGGGTCTCCAGGGTCAAGGGTGTGATCCAGGAGGCACCCACAGCTATGCAGCTTCCCTACAGTGACCTAGAGCTTGTGCAAAGTTTGCCTGCCCGCCCTCCCCAATGTCCCGGTGCTCTCCCTACAGCTGATCCTTCACTGTGTGTGTGTGTGGGGGGGGGGGCAGTTAAGGGAGGTGTGAAACTCCCCCAGGCTTCATGGGAAAACAGCCAGATGCTTAATTTATGACTTCTGAGGTCTATTTGGCATAATGACTTAGTTTGAAACAGGCAGAAGCTATTAAAAGCACGGAGAGCTGCTTGTTTATTAAGTGTGGGTGTGTTTTGTTTTTTGATTTTTTTTCTTTCTTTCTTATCTCATGCCCTTGTGGACACAGGAAAGTGGCAGTACCTCTGAGGTTTGCAAAGGCTTAGGGTCTGTATGTTGGCAGATTGTCCTTTTGGCAGATGACAGTGTCCTCTGAGCCCAGGAGACAAGAGTGAAGAGTCAGGGCAGGAAAATCTAAGATTCTCAGGCAGGCACTTGCTCTGGTTTGGGCAGGAGTGAGATGGGGAGGGCAGAGCTTGCCTCCAGGTGCAAATGTGGAGCATGAATAGGAAGCAGCTATGGTAGCAAGCATGGTGATGAAAGTATTGGCACATACACTTACAGTGTGCCTGGTCCTACAGAATTCTTACTAATTTCATTTAGTTCATTATTTCATAACCTGAAAAATAGGCATTTTTATCCCTATTTCCCAGGAAAAGACATAGATATTTAGAGACATGCATAGGTGTCAATTGCTTTTCTTGGTGTTCTGGCCAGATACCTGACAAAGACAACTTACAGAAGGTAGAGTTTTTGCCTTACAGTTTATTTTAGGAGGAGTGCAGTCTGCCATGGTGGGAAGGTAGGATGGCAGGGGGTTGGGAAGCTGATCGCATTGCATCAGAGAGCAGAGGCTAGAGAGATGAATCAGCAGTTCAGAATGCTTGCTGTTCTTTCAGAGGACCCAGGTTCGAATCCCAGCACCCACATCAAGTATTCAAACACGTGGGACTCTGGGAGACATCTCATATCCAAACCACAACATTCTGCCTATTCCTGACCCCCATAGATACATGGCAGTGTAATAATGAAAAATACAGTTGTTCTAACTTCTGAAGTACCATAGTCTTCAACAGTCCCAGTACTGTTCAAAAGTCCATAGCTGCTTCCAAGACTAAAGGCAATCTCTTAATTGTGGCCCTCTGTACAATCAAATGCGGTTTACACGGTTTGGATATCCAAGGCACAGAGTAAATATTCTTATTCCAAAAAAGGAGGAATGGGCATAACAAGGAAAAGTTAAACCGAACCAAGGTTAAAAACAAACAAACAAACAAACAAAACCCCCAAAACAAACAAACAAACAAAAAACAAAAAAAAAAACCGCACAACAAAACAAAAAACCATATCCTATAGCTTCATGACCAGTTCTGACACTTGAGATGGAGCCATCTGGGTTCCAAATGATACTTCTCTATTCTGATGACTGCATCAGCCTTTTCCTAGGCAGGTTGTGTTCCACGCCTGCTCCTTCCCTCAGCAGATATCCTATGGATCTGGAATATCCCAAATTTCAGCTTACCTTCACCTTCACACAGGGCCCCGTGTAGAGAACCAGCCCGCCACACATCACCTGGCCTCATTAGCTGTCTTGAGTGCTGGTGCAAGCCTCCATGATCCTCTTACTCTTAAATCTGCTATGCTTGCAAAACCAGGCTCATGCGAGCGAGACTGCCTGGCTCTCCTGGCTGCTCAAGATGTAGCTTGACCCCCTTGAATGGCAGCTGTAGTGGCCTCTGTGTGCATTGCTGACTGAATCTTGGAAAACACTTCACCAGGTGGTTGTTTTTGAGCAGAGAACCTCTTCTGTGACAGTCTCAGTTCAAGTTTATTTGCATCTTCAAAATACACAGGGCCTTTTGATGAGAAATCTTGCTCTCAAAGCACTTTCCCTATGTCCTACCCAGAGCACGAGACTTCTCTTCAACAGGGCTAACCCCTTTGCTGATTACAGATGATTTAGACTCCACTCTTGCCTGCATCTTCAATTTCTCATGCTAATTCCCTTGACAAGTTGCGTATTTTTTCCTGCCCACTTGTTGCTCTCTCTCACTGCAGACCTGGATGAGGGCAGTGAGCAGTAACTGTGACTCAGCCTAAATGTTAGTCTGTCTTGAGATGTCCTCTGCCAAACAAATTAGTCTATTACTTTTGAATTAACCCTGAATTAACTTCTCAGGACACAGGGAGAATGTAGCTAGATTCTTTGCCAGAGTGCAGTGTAAATGACCTGTAACCAAGCACAGCATTCAAGCTCAGGACATGGTAGCTGGTTCATGTTGAATTCTGTCCTGGGAGGCCACTGACACCTGTCTGACCCTTTGTGCCTCTGGGCTGGCTTCTGAAATCAGCTTTAAATGCCATGCTCTCCTTTTCAGGGGAGAAAGGCCTGGATATGAAGGGCAGACAGCACCATTGCCCTTGGGGACTATCTGTATACACCAGACTCTTTGCTCCTTAATTCTCTCCTTCTTCCATCTTAGGCTGACCTCCGGTGCATGCAGTTGGACCTGGAGCAGAAGCTCAAGCTGAATGAAAATGCCATTGCCAGGCTCCAAGCCAACCATAAGTCCGTTTTGGTAAGACTGGTTCGGGTCACCTCTCTGGCTTCAGCATACTTGGCTGCCACTGCAGGGATAGTGAGACCCAGTTGGGGCCGTAGGACATGGGTTGAAGATCCAGCAGGGTTCTCAGCAAGTGAGAGTAGCAGGCATAGTTGGCCACATTATGAGGTACCTTCACCTTGACGGGGTTTCTTATCAAATGGGCTTAGGCAGGCCGGAGAGATGGCTCAGTGGTTGAGAGTACCAGCTGCTCTTTCGAGGACCCCAGTTCAATCCCCAGCCACCGTGGCAGCTCACAACTGTCTGTACCTCTAGTTCCAGGGGATCTAATAACCTCTTCTTGCCTATATGAGCATTAGGCATGTGCTATATAGACAGAAATGCAGGCAAAGACCCCTACACATAAAATAATAAGAAGAATATTTTTTAAATTGACTTGAGTTTTAAAACTGGTTAAGTGATTCACCTTTTAATAATATGAAATAGATCCAGATTAGTCTTGAACTAACAGCTTTCCTAATGTTATGTGTGCGTATTTGCTCTCTTTCTCATTCTCTCCTTCCTTCTGGGGAGCACACTCACTCTCCTTATCTTTCTTTTGACAGAGTTTCACTTTGTAGCTCACACTAGCCTTGAACTCACTATGTAGAGCAGGTATCACCAAGCTCTTAGCAATTCTCCTGCAGAAGCCTCCCAAGTGTTGCTGGGATTACAGACACACACCACCACATCATGTTTTCTTAACGAAGGGAAATGTGCTTGTATCTGTATGCTTGTGATTGGCTAGTCAGAGCTCCAGGAATTATGTGTTCCACAGCTTCTTCTATCCCTGGAGGGTGGTCTGCTGGAAGCTGATAAAAAGAATCAAGAACTCCTAGATTAGCCAGTGACATTTGGTAAGGTCAGTGCTATGACAGGCAGCTTAGCTTTAGTCTCTTCTGGTTTGATTTTAATTTCCCAGTAGTAAATTCCATAAACACCTCTCATTGGTGACAAACCAAGAGCCACCACTCAGAAGAGAATGCAGAATATCTACTCTGTGGCAGTGAGTTGGAAGTATCATCTGCATGCCAAGAATGAATGATTTTATTCATCTGTCTGTCCACCATTCACCCACACTTTACCTATCTACCTATTCACCTACTCATCTACTTATCTCCACCCATCCATCCATCCATCCATCTATCTATCCACCCACCCACCCACTCATACATTTATTTTAATCTAGTGTCCAACTTAATTTTTGTCTCCTCAGTATTTATAACCAACTAGCTGTTGAAGGATAAAAACCTTCCTTATCCACAACTGTTAATTAGGCCACAGGCCTTCTAATTCCTGTGTTTTCTGTATCTCCCAGCAATCAGGCCACACCCCTGAAGTTTCTCCTTTAGGCACAGAGTTGATAAGCCTTGCCTATCCCTTGAAGCTACAGAATAGGTCCTACTTTGTGCTTCCCTTCATACCCTTTGGCGTGAAGGCTAAGTCAGGTAGGTCACAGTATAGTGCTTACTTCTGATCTCCATGAAAATCTATAAGGTGGAGGGATCCCCTTTGCTGTAGGGGTTGGAAGGGAACTTATATACTTAGAGACTCCTGTCTCTCTCTTCAGGGTCCCTCATGGCTGCCGATAGCTATGAGGTGCTTGCTCTGAACAAAGCTAAGCAATCTTTCATTGTTAGCGTCTGCTGTACAGACTTAACTTTCTTTGTTATAAGCACATATTTTTCTAAAGAAAAAAAATTGCTCCTATAAAGTCTCAGACTTGATTTGCAAGTCCTGATGATTTGGAGGATCACACAGGACACTGTCTGGCTCTTTAATTTGATCCTTACTTAGTTCTCATAATGGCATAGTGACCATTGAGATATTGCAATGGCTCTCATACACCAAGGAATGTGGAGACACACAGAGAGTTGTTAAGACTGTCTTGGACTCTTCATAGTGACTGGATGGGAGGATCTGGGATTGTTGTTTTTTTGGCCCAAGGATGATTCAGTACATTACTGGATATGTGCACCATCCTCAGAGTTTTAAACCACTAACTACTGACTACTTCACTATGTTTATGACTCCCTCTTTGCATGGATTACTCCTCATGGTTTGGGAAATAATTAACCTCCTTCACTCATTCCATTCTTATACAAATAAACATTTCTCAATGGGAAAGTTTAGGAAGGAGATGCCACAGTAGGAGCAGGGGTCTCATCCACCAACATCATCACCAACATCATCCATCATCAGATGCCTCCCTCAGGCTATCCTTCATCAGGATGAACTCTGATGGGATGGGGAGGGATATGACCTTGAGTTTTGTCTTTGGACTAATGCCATTTAGCCTCACCTAATTGTTCTTTTATGAGGAGCCTACATATTGTAAATATGGAGGTTAAATGGACTATGTTCTCTCCCCATGATATCCTCATATTGATTTCCATGCCTTTTCTGTTTCTGGATTTTAGAGTCTGTTTAAAAAGTGGCAGTAAACCAGAGAAGCCAAAGCCTAGCAGTGTGATACTTGCACTGGTCTTATCAACACCACTTACTAGTCTAGGAATTCTTGACTCTTTTCTCCAGCCTCCAGCATGTATGACTAGTGATCTGCTCAGACAGAGCACCCTCCCATGATAGAAGAAGCCTGGGCATGTATAAATGCTGGAGCTCTGAGCAAAAGTTCCACACACCCCCTCCCGTGCAAACACACCCTGGTTCAGAAAGCAGACACTGGACAAACCACTGAATTTGCTGGTGTCTCAGTGTCTTCCTTTCAGTGATAGGGAGCATAAGGGTGCCTTCTTGTTAGGGTGGTTGGGAGGAGATGGGAAGTTTGCCCCAGTGCCTGTAATGTAGAGTAACACTGTACTCATCCTGGTTGCTGTGCTTATACTGTTGTATCATTGTACAAGTAACCAGATAGGCAGCAGGGATCCAAGACTGCTTCACGCTGCCCTGGCTCCTGCACTCCACCACTTCTCCCAGGGCTTTTCTCCATCTGGGCTGGAGGAATTTGGAGGAAATCTGCTCGGTGTCCTCTTTCTTAGTGGCTTCCTGCCCCATCCAGCTGCCCTATAGCCTAAGGAAACCAGCAGAGAACAGAAAAGCTGACATGCAGTGAGTGTGTGGGCATCTCTCTCCAGGATGGATGCCGCTTGCTCTCTTTCCTTGTGCCACCAGCCATAGATCAAAGGCTGGCTGGAGACCATGTGTTCCCGCAGCATTGCATTATTCCAAGGCCCAGCCTGAACCAGGCAGTGGCTCTCCTACCTGCCATCCCTTCTTGCTTTCTCTCTCCAAAGCTGTTGGCTCCCACAGCCACCAGGATAGCCCTTTCCTTACCAGGTTACCCAGTTTGAGTTGCTGCCTCTTTGGAGAAAGGGGTGCTTATGTACCTCACTGAGGACATCAGCTGCTTTCATTTCCCTAGAAGCCTGATATAGGCCTAGTCCTGGCCCTAAATAAGGAAGAACAGACCATGGGGAGAGAGCTCAGTTATGTGGGTGGTGCAGATGTAAAAGTTGCTGAAGCAGGCACAGAGTGGGGATGCTGGGATTAGGGCAAAGGAACCTACTACATCCAAGACTTTCTCAGAAAGTGTACTCAGTGATGGGCAACACAGTTACCACAGTCACCAACACTCTAAACCTTCCTGGCAACTGCCTGCTAGAGACACTGTAATCTCAGATGCATAATGAAATGCTAAGAATACTTTACCAAAACCGCACAATTGTTTCTCTTTCTTGAAACACATTTATCAAATATACTGAATACTGGACTGTCCTTATGACAATCAGTACAGTAGTTCTCACAACCTGTGGGTCAAATAACCCTCTCACAGGAGTTGCCTAAGACCACCAGCAAAACACAGATATTTACATTATGATTTATAACAGTAGCAAAATTACAGTTATGAAGCAGTGACAGAAATAATTCTATAGTAGGGGGTCATCACAACAGGAGGAACTGTATTAAAGGGTCACAACATTAGGAAGGTTGAGAACCACTAGGTATATACCTAGAAGAGGACATCTGTCTTCCCAGGAACCCAGAATTCCCACAATAACAAAATTGCCTTTTACAGTCTGGTGGTCCTTAGTCTTTGGACTTTCTGCTTCCTGACAATGTATGTTGAGCTTTGAGCATGTCGGAGGCCTCTGTAATGGAATCTTGCCTGATTCCCATTCCATCCCACCAGGTGTCGGTGTCGGAGGTGAAGGTGGTGGCTGAAGAGAAGTTTGGGGAGCTCCTTGCAGCTGTGAGGAAAGCCCAGGCTGATGTCATGCTTTTCTTAGAGGAAAAGGAACAGACTGCACTGAATCAGGTCAACGGCATCAAGACCCACCTGGAGTACAGGAGCATAGAGATGGAGAAAAGCAAGCAGGAGCTGGAGAAGTTGGCTGCCATCAGCAACACTGTGCTCTTCCTGGAGGTGCGGAGGCTGTGTGCGTGCGTGCGTGAGTGCGTGTGTGTGTGTGTGTGTGTGTGTGTGTGTGTGTGTTGGGCAGGGGTGGGGGGTTTGCAGGGACCCTCCATTCATATGGCCTCATACACAGTCATGAATGGGACTGTCTTTTCATACAGAAAGCAGGGCGATTCAGGTCTTGACTCGTCCAGGAAACAGTAGTCCAGGAGGGACAGGGAGGACTGTTCAGAGTGGGGAAGATCCTGGAAGGTGGCTCAAGTTCTAAGTTCTATACTTGCTGGATAGAGACCACTATATGCAAAGACAGAGGACTGTGAGAGAGTCCTGTTGGCTCAAGGAGCCAAGGCACTTTGACAAGGAGTGGGTGTGGGGGTCTATGGTGATGGAAGATGAGCCTGGCAGGGCCAGACTGGCATGCAACTGTGAAGGACTTCAGGTGGGGAAGCAAAGAGCATAGAGATATGTTTCCAGCAGTTGTGCAGAGGTTCTCGTGGCAGTGTGAGACGGGAGAGACTGGCTGGTTTTCAGACTGGGCTGTGTCCACTGCAGTAATTGAGAAGGACTTAGCAAAGGGATGGAACTTTCCGTCTCACAATGTATCCCGTGTATGGAGGCATAAACCAGTTAGCTCTGGGCATACACAACATGTAGTCTTCTAGAATAACGAATAACACTACACGTGGTCTTGGATCTGTCACTAGATATCACTGTGTAGTGCTTAAAAAAACTCACCCAAACTCTCTTGGGTATCAAATTTCTCACTTAGCAAACCAACATGTGGGAGTAAATAATCTCCAACTTTTCTTTCAGTTTTACTATTCAAAGACAAACGACTTTTTTTTTTTTTTTTAACAATTCCCTTCTATTTACAGAAAATCAAAAACCTAGGGGGTAAACCAGAAATATAGGAAAGAAAAATAAGCAAAAAAAATTGTTTACAACTTCAGTACCTAAAGATAGCCAGTCTGTCTTTCAGCAAGTGAAAGAAACAGTTATAAAATTTAGTGAAAGATAAGCTATTTTTTCCATGAATAATTCGGTCAAAGTGGCAGCATTTCTTTATTTATGTAGATAGAGTCTCCCTATGTAGCCCAGGCTGGCCTTAAAATTGGGCTCCTCCTGCCTCAGCCTACTGAATGCTGGGGTCACTGGCATCGACTATAACTTACACCGACAGTACCTATGTTTTGCTTCACCTATTTGCATTACTTTTTTCTTGCATGTCACCAAATGAATACACATTATGAAAGTGCTTGTCTACAGAGCTCTTGTTGGACTTCTCTTCTATAGGCTTGTGGTATGACCAATTTCATTCCTATCTATCCAGTCTGGTATCTGAAGGTTCATCTGCATCTGAGTAATGATGTTGTTTTACACATAAAAACAATCTTCCTTGATCCTACAAATGGGGTATGGAACTTAAGTAGCTTAATGGGGTTTACTGATGTGTACATATCTTTCAAATTCTAAAGCAAAGTTCAAGAATAGCAAATGTATGCTCTGGGTTGACAAGGACTGAGGGTTGGCTTGGGAATCCTTAGAACACAGCAGCAGTATCGAGTTCTCCCATTCCCTCCACAACTTGTACTTAAGCTATGGAAGTGGAAAGAATTCAGGGAGTGGATGAGGTAAGAATGTTCTCCTTCTTTGGTCCCCTGTTTGAGTTGTGTATGGAAGCTGCCTGTGGTCATATATCTTTTGACATTAAGAAACTAACTTTTCCACTTGCTTTTAAGAAGACTAGGTTCCTTTGTAGGGTCTAGAAGCATAGAAAAACACTTTATACATGCTTCCTCAGTGAAGCACACAAATTGCCCTCAGCCCATTTCACAGATGCAGAAAGAGACATGTTGAGAAGAGCTGCCTGGTTCTGTTTCCCTCTCTGCAGGAGTACTGCAAGTTTAAGAAGACAGAAGATTCTGCCTTCCCCAGTGTTTACATAGGGTTGAAGGATAAACTCTCAGGCATCCGCAAGGTCATCACAGATTCAACTCTGCACTTAATCCAGTTGCTAGAGGGTTATAAAGAAAAGCTACAGGAGTTTTCCAAGGAAGGTGAGGAGCTTTCTAGAATGGTCACGAGGAAAGAGGGAACCTGGGAAGATAGGGGGAAGGCACCCATTTCCAAGCCATTCTTTGGTTAGGCCATTAATGATTCTTATCTTGACTTTATTTTGTAATTGTAACCCAAAGGAGGTAAATCTGTCGAATTGCATCAACATTTCTATGTCTAACTTCACAGGCTGCTGATGTCTGTATTTTTAAAGTAGATTCTGTGTCCACCTGGGGTCTTCTCCAGCAGGGTTTGTCTGGTACATGGAGTGTGACCGGGTTCCCAGGCACCAGACCCTCCAGAAGCCCGGGGAAGGATGGACTGTTTCTTGGGTTCTCCCAGCCACCTGAACAGGTGCTATTCACAACTCTCTGGTTTTTCTAGAGGAATATGACATCAGAACTCAAGTGTCTGCCATTGTCCAGCGCAAGTATAGGACCTCAAAACCTGAGCCCAGAACCCGGGATGAGTTTCTCCAATGTAAGTTGTGAAAGGTAGCCCCTTCCAACATGCTGACGGCAGTGGAATGCTTTGCCAAAGCAAGAACCACCATATCTTGCAGAGGATTTAGGTTCTTGTAGCCTCTCATCTATTCCTAAATAATATATTTTAAAGTTTTTAATAGAAAAACTACTTCCTTAAACAAATTTTTTAAAATGCAAAAATTGGATAAAAATTCATATATTTGTATCTATCACCCAGTTTCTCTAAAATGTTGATATCATACATAACTATAATACATGATGCAAGAAATTAGCATTGCTGCAATATTTTTAACAACTTTTCTGATTTCTTTTTCTGGCAGTCTTTGTTGCTTTTCTATTGCTGTGATAAAACTCCATAACCAAGGCAGTCTATAAAAATGTAAAACAAAGTGTTTGCTGGGAGCTTAAAGTTTCAGAGGGCTAGAGTCCATGACCATCATGTCAGGGAGCATGGAGGAAGCAGGCATGATGCTAAAGTTTACATATTGAGATACAGCCTAGAGGCAAGAGATAAAGCTAGGAATAACATGGGTTTTTGAAACCCCAAAGCCCATCCCTAGTGACACATCTCCTCCATCAACCTCACATCTCCTACTCTTTCCCAGTTTCACTAACTGGGAACCAATTATTCAAATATAAGAGTTTATAAGGACCATTCTCATTCAAACCATCACATTGGCCCAAAGTTGAACTCAGGAACACAGATGTGTGTTCTAGCTTCCTTTCTGTTGCTGGGGTAAAACATTCTGGGTCTAACCTCAACCAACCAACCAACCAACCACCAACCAACCAACCAACCAACTAACCAACCAACCAACCAACCAACCAAGTGAATGAACAAACAAAGCACAAATAAAAGCACTATAAGGGCTGGATAGATAGTTTAATGGTTAAGGGTACTTGCTGCACTTCCAGAAGACCCAAGTTCAATTCCTAGAACCCAGATAGCAGCTCACAGCTGTCTAATTTCAGTTTTAGAGAAGCTAACATCCTCTTCTGGGTTCTGAGGGCACCAGGTAGGCACATGGTGCACAGATATACATACAGGCAAACATTTATACACAACAAATTAAAGTACCCCATTTCTCAGCAATGCTTTGTGATATAATAATTTAAGAGACCTATCATACAACACATACTGTAGACTTGAAAAAAGCAAGTATCCCTTCCGCCCATGTACAAAAGCCATGCGCATGATATATGTGAACTTACACATTAACCTGCCTGATTTAGTCATTCCATGGTGTGTGTGTGTGTGTGTGTGTGTGTGTGTGTGTGTGTATTTCAAAATATCATGTTGTGTATAATGAACAGAAGAAATTTTTATATGTCAATTGAGAACATAAAGTGAAAAAGTACTCTTGGTAGTCAACAATTCATCAAGTTTCACCTCCCAACACAATAAACTTCACTATAGTGAGTGCTCATTTTTGTGGTACCCTTCTGGAACATGCAACTAAGGCCTGCTTCTGTGTGGTTTTGGAGAGCAACCACTGCCCCACCGTTTTCTCTGGCTATTACATGGGCCCCATAAGCCTAAAACTATGTCTTACCTTTGTTGCAACTCTGAATGTCTTGGCCTCTGTCCACTCTGTCCTCTCCCGTTTCCTGTCTGACGCACACGTATATTTTAGAGACAGACGTAATACCATATATTAAAAGCCACTTGGTCTTAGAATGAAAAGTTAAGCATGTCCTAATATAATTTGTCTTTCTTTACAAGCGCTTTTACATATGTTGAACTTTTTTGAATATTATTTTGGGTAATAATACAATATATCTTTTGAAATATTCTTAATGTGGGCCAGGCAAGAGTTGCCCATGGCTTAGCTACAGGTGAAGCAAGAGGCTTGAAAGGAGTGGCTGGAGTCTACGGGACCTTCTGTTATCTGTATTGTAGGAAGCACGAGGGCAAAAGAAATATGAGAAATGGTTTTGTGTGTGACTTGAGTAGCTGTGCATGGCGGCACTATTATTAGTCTTTGGGGTTGAGAAGAGTATGCGTTTGATACCATGTCTAAGTCTAACCATGTTAAAGCTGGCCAAAGGCTTAACAAACAAAGGAGTGGATCAAATGTAGGAATACGAGGATTGCCTCTCTGAACTCACCCATAGATGAATGCCTGACTTCCTGTATACAGATCATGAATGAATGAATGAGTTAATTTCTTTATTCAGTTCAGGTATTACAGCAAATGCTAATTACCTATTCCTTGTCCTAGGGGAGTGTAGACTGGGTAAACAGAACCAAATGGTGGATGTATTCTCACGAATGCCTTGGGGCATCAGCTGTGTTTAAAGCTGTCTTCTATGTTTCCTCAGATGCATGTGACATCACATTTGACCCAGACACAGCACATAGGTATCTTCGCCTGCAGGAGGAAAACCGCAAGGTCACCAACACCACACCCTGGGAGCACCCTTACCCAGACCTTCCCAGCAGGTTTTTGCACTGGCGGCAGGTGCTGTCCCAACAGAGTCTATACCTGCACAGGTATTATTTTGAGGTGGAGATCACTGGAGGAGGCACCTACGTTGGCTTGACCTGCAAAGGCATTGACCGTAAAGGGGAGGAACGAAACAGCTGCATTTCTGGAAACAACTTCTCCTGGAGCATTCACTGGAATGGAAAGGAATTCACAGCCTGGCACAGTGACACAGAGACCCCACTCAAGGCTGGCCCTTTCCGGAGGCTTGGGCTCTATGTCAATTTCCCAGGAGGAACCCTTTCCTTCTATGGTGTAGAGTATGATACTATGACTCTGATTCAGAAGTTTGACTGCAAGTTCTCAGAGCCAGTCTATGCCGCCTTCTGGCTGTCTAAGAAAGAAAACACCATCCGGATTGTGGATCTGGGAGAGGAGCCCGAGAAGCCTGCTCCATCCACAGCAGAGGCTGCACCCTAGATTCTAGGATCTGTCTCCCAGACTTTGCTAATTGTGACATTTGGGCTGCAGCTGGTATTTTAAGATAGACAGAAATATCTGCTGGGAGAAGCTGGTTCTGGAAACTGTGTGAGTCTTGAACAAACTTTCTTGCCTTTTCTCATTACATTCTTGCATGAATGCAGAAACTCTAAGGCACCAAAGCCTCTCCTCAAATCTAGTCATGAGTCTGCTCACGTGACTGCCACCCTCCACTCTGAACTTATGACTAGGGCTCTTCAGCACACAACAGGACTGCATAGGGATCATAATAAACCACAAACATATCATATATTTCTTATATTCTTGACAATGTCTGGAGTGTTTTCTCTGGGTTATTTCATATCATCTTCATGAGATAAACATTTATATTGTCCTCATGCTACACATTAAGAGAAGTACCAGGGCAGCTAGCTAACTTGTTCATGGTCAGTCTGGTCACTCAGTATATGAGGGGTAGAGTTGGGATTCAAGCCTGAACAGGCTATTGTTGAACTTGTGACTGTGTGTTAAGCTTACCTCATTAGATCACTGTGGTGACTTGAAAGAAAAGGGCCCCCAAAGGAAGTGGCCCTATTAGGGGGTGTGGCCTTGTTGGAGGAAGCGTGTCACTGTAGGGGTGGGCTTTGAGGTTTCTTTTCCTCAAGCTTCCCTCAGTGTGACAGTCAGTCAACTTCCTGTTGCCTCTGAGTCAAGATGTAGCACTCTCAGCTCCAGGACCACGTCTGCCTGTAAGTTGCCATGCTCCTCATCATGATCGTAATGGACCCTGAAACTGTAATCACACGAGCCACCTCAGTGAAATGTTTTCCTTATAAGAGTTGCTATGGTCATGGTGTCTCTTCATAGCAAAAGTCAACCCTATACGAGACAATAATGAACTTTATGTACAAAGTGTAAACCACATGCTAAACTTCATAGCCAACAAACAGTGTCTTCAGCATCCCTCTCAGAGTTTGCTCATCTTTTTGCATGTGCCAGGCTCAGCTTGGTTACCCAGCCTCCCACCATCCAAGCCCTCGCCCCTCACACAGCAGCAGCAAACACACAGTGTTGAACAGCAAGGGTTAGAACAAATGTTTTAGTGAGGTCTTTTAGGGAGGATTCTTTGTCCTCACCTCTAAAGTTACCAAGTCTTCATGGACTTGTCTATTTTCTTGTGCAAAAGGATAGTTCTTCAAGAGTTTGGGGACAGTGCTCACCTCTCCTAGGAGCTAAGTTGATAATTTCCTCCATTGTTCCCATTTCTCCCCCACACTCTGTTGACCCCATTCTCTTTTAGACAGATGACAAACATACATCAAGCCTTTAGGCACACCATCTTTAGATAGATATCTATGGACCTAACCTAAAGTCCCTGGTGGGATTTACCAGAAATATTACTTCCCTGTCTTTTCCCATGACCTGTGTCAATGCAAAATCTCTTCCTGTTCAACCAGTCTTGTGATTCTAGACTTTAGAGAGTCTGTACCTTTGTCGTTAAGGATGTGGGCAGTATGATATTTCATTGTTTTCATGTCCTCATATCTGCTGTGCTGAGACACTTTCATGATCTGTTATTTAGTACATTACCTCTCTTTCTAGCAGAAATAGATTTTTTTGGCAGAATCAAGTCTTCTCTTAAGTCTGAATCTCATTGGCAGATATACTGATTATGATGGGGTCAAATTCAGAATGTGGCAGACTTGCTTAACTTCTGGGTTTAGCCACACATGAGTTACTCAGTGGTAGAGCTGGGCAGTGACACACTTCATTCTTTGCCTCCTTTTCCCACTGAATGCAATGAAACACTTTTTCTTTTCTTTTTATTTGAGATAGGGCCTCACTATGTAGCCTAAGCTGGCCTGGGATGCACTACGTATCCTCAATTGGCCTCAGACTCTCTTTTCTTAGTTTCCCAAGTGCTGGGGTTATAAGCATAAATTATCAGTGTGATGCTCAGCTCCATGAAAGACCTTTCCAGTAGCAGAAATCTATGTCTGCATTTTTTGGATCCAGCTGTTAAAGAATACTCTTCAAAAGAGAAAATCATATCATCTTGGCCAACCCCCTTTTTTAAAAATTAAATTTATTTTAAACTGGACAGTGGTGGTGCACACCTTTAGTCCCAGCACTCCTGAGGTAGAAGTAGATGGATCTGTGTGAGTTTGAGGCCAGCCTGGTCTATAAAGCTACACACAGAAACCCTGTCTCGAAAAACCATATATATATAAAAAACATATATATATATATATATATGTGTGTGTGTGTTTTTAATTGATATGAATAGCTATGTATAGCTATGTATACTTATGGAATTCAGTATGGTTTTTCAATAAATGTATGTAATGTATAAAACCAACATGAAAAGTTAACATGTCTATATCACCTCAACTATTTATATATTTTTTATAAGAACAAATTTTGTCTTCCAAATATTTTGAAATAAAACTACTTTTTAAAAAATTGTTATTATTGATGGTAGTTATCATTTTAATTGCCACAGACTATCTGATAAGACATTTTAGGGTTTTGCATTAGATTAATGTCACATTTGTGAGTCTGTTGTTTCCAGGAGATGATTATTATTATTTTTTTTGAGACAGAGGACTCATAAATGCTGAGATCACAGGAGTGTTCCACTGTGTCTGGTTTACTTGGTGAAAGGGTTGACTCTGAGGTTTCATGCATTCTATATTAATCACTCCATCAACGGAACACATCTCCAGCCCTTTATTAAAAAATTTAATTTATTATTGACTCAGTGTGTGAGGGGGAGAGGGAGAGAGACAGACACAGAGAGACAAAGAGAGACAGAGAGAAAAAGAGTGAGCACACAACATGGAACACATATGGAGGTCAGAAGACAACTTGTAGGCCGCTCCTTCCTTTCTTTATTATTATTATTATTATTATTATTATTATTATTATTATTATTTTCAGAATAGAATTGACTTGAACTTATGACTTTCTCACCTCAGTGTTACCACAAAGCCAGGGATTAAGCTGTGCACCACCAAATCTGATTGTTTTTTAAGGAAAAAAAACATCAAACTGTCTCCATTTCTGCCATTCTCTCCACTTTCTCAAGGATTCAGTGTCCTGAAATGCAACTTGATTAGGCCAAAATATCCAAGCTCATATAAAAAGAGCCATTTAGCTATCTCTTTACCTGGCTTGAACTTTTGTTTTCAGGTTTAAGATTCCTTTTGATATAATAGATCAAAGCAAAGTTTAAGAGTCTCACATATTTGCTTGCTTTATGTCATTGCCTCAAGTGATGGACATATCACTTTTCATTTTCTTTGAAAACTAAAAATTAGCTGTACTGAACAAATAAAAACTAAGCAAGGGGGGAAAAAAGGAGAGTGAGCAAAAGACCATTTTTTGTATGTGTAACAAACTGTGGACTTTCCCCCAAGCTTGTGGAATTGTGTGCCAATTGTCTGTATTCTACTGTTCTCTGTCTTCCAACTTCCCATGATCTGGCCTTACCTAAAAAAACAAAGCAAAAAGCAAACCAGACCTCAGAAGGAACTCACTTTGATACAGTTAGATGGAATTTAGGCACTGCCTGATATTTATTTATTTATTTATTTATTTATTTATTTATTTATTTGAGACAGGGTTTGTCTGTGTAGCTTTGGAGCCTGTCCTGGAACTAGCTCTTGTAGACCAGGCTAGTCTGGAACTCACAGAGATTCACCCACCTCTGCCTCCCAAGTGCTGGGATTAAAGGTGTGTGCCACCACTGTCTGGCTTGTCTTTTCAAGTAAAAATATGTTCTCAAGAAGTTTACATAAAGACAGGTGGTGGTGGTGCATGCCTTTAACACCAACACTCAGGAGCTGAGTTTGAGGCCAGTCTAGTTTACAGAGATAGTTCTAGGATAGCTAGGGATACACATGGAAACCATGGGGAGGTAATATAAAACCATTATCATCCTCCCTTCAGACCCATCCTTCGATTCCTTCTTTTCTCCATCTCCCATTTGATCAAAAGTTTAAGTTTGGTGGGAAGCTTTATTTTCCAATGGGATGACTTGGGCTTACTGCTGTTCTTGTGGGTGATGCCACTGGTGTGGTGTAGCTAAATGCTGCCCTGAACACTCCAATCTTGTGTTGGAAACGTGGGTAGGGCCTGGGTGCTGAGGGAAGGCAGATGAAGTAGTAGACAGGGATTGGCTTAGGGGCCCCTTGCGTAGAGAGATGTTCTTTCAGAGGCAGGGTCCTCATCTCTTTTGCCCAGCTTCCTGGGAGTTATTTTATCCAGAGCTAGGGGGTATAATGGACTCCCCACGAGAGGACAGATCTCTCAATAGCCAACCTGCTCCACAGTATCCTGAGCAGAACACTAGTGCTCTAAACAGCACCAACAGCAGCCAGACACCCACCACCAAAAGCTTCTTGACCTCTGGTCACTCCTCAAGCATGAATGGGAGCCATCTGTAAGTTCAGCCAGCCAAACACTCAGACTCAGGGTCTCTATCTATCTTTAAATATGTCTATGTTGAGGTTCTGATGAGGTCTTTATGTGTCCTCCCAAATAGTCAGATTGGTTTGAAAATTAATGCAAAGTAGAAAGGAGTTTGGCTTGTGTGTGTTTATGTGTGTGTGTTGTCTTAGTTTAGTGTTGCCTTAGCTTGCTATGAAGAGACACCATAGCCATGGCAACTCATAAAGGAAAACCTTTAATTGGGCTGGCTTACCGTTTCAGAGGTTTATTTAGTCCATTATCATCATGGTGTGACATGTCAGTGTGCAAGCATAGGGTGCTGGAGAAGGAGCTGAGAATTCTACATCTTTGATCCACAGGCAATAGGAAGTGAACTGTCTCACTGGGCATGGTTTGAACATATATGAGACTTCCACAGTGACATGATTCCCTCAATAAGTCCACACCTACTCCAACAAGGCCACACACCCTCATAGCACCACACTCCCTTTGGGGCTATTTCTGAACACTGTTTCTCATTTCTTCTCTCACCTAATCCTGGAATGCCTGAGATATAGATACTGTTACGTGGATGGAAGATGAGATGTCACCAAGGTCAGAGAAATTAAGTAATTTGCCCCAGGTCATGCAGCAAGAAAGCATGATAGAGTTAAGCAATACATCCTTGTATCTAAACTGGAGTGGCTGACTCTAAATGCTTCTGGATGTAGGTCAGTCTAACAGATTATAATTCTAATGTAGCCAAACGTTTAAAAACAAGGCAATTTTAGCTGTGGCACTTGTGAGGTTGATCCACCGACTCTTGGGTATTCAGACAGTGTGCTTTGGGCCTCCCTCTTCCTGTCTGCCTCCTCTGTCGTGAGTCAGATTTCAATGCCCTCTGCCTGCTGTCCAGTTCTCTCTACACAGAAGAGGGTGAGCTTTTAGAACTAACCTCATTTGTCCCTGACCTAGTCCCAATATGTGACCACCAATGTCAGCAAACACAGGTGATGATTTCTACTGTCTTCCTCTATCTGCCCTAGCCTTCAGAAGGTCACTGGAAATCATCTAGTGTTATATACCAGAGCAGTAATGAAAATAATAATATCAATTGAGCCCAAAGTGTTTACCTAGACCTATGTATCAGCTATAACACATCTAGTTTTCTCCCTTCAGTTCTTCTAAGTAGAGAAACTGAAGCCATCTCAGAAGAGCTGTGTAACTTTCGAGACCACATAGCTAAGACATGAACCTAGTTTTGTATGAAGGAGAATTATCTTACTGCACCTCAGTGACTGCTGCTAGGCCTTTTCCAGTGATTCCATTCCCCATCTTTATTAGTTATTTGGAAAAATTTCAAAAATATGAAAAACTGAGAAACTAGAACATTGGACACCCATGTACTCTTCATTCATACTCACTAATTCCTAGAATTTGGTTATGCTTGATGTTGAATATTTTACAAAGCTCAGGGAAAGTCTTATTTTCTTCTAGGATGTCAGGGTGAGCAGAAGTCTCCTTGAGGAGCCATATGTACATGTTTTTGGCTCTAACGTCCAAATCATTGTTTCTGGGGATATCATGAGTCAGGGCTAAAGGAAAACTATCCCAGATAGCAGGTAAGACATACATTTCATGTTGCTTTTTGTTTAAAAGCTACACACACACACACACACACAGTATTTCCTTGCATGCATTTGAGTGTATTAACTACACACATACACACAAACATTGTAGTGCACATTGACTCAGATAATTCCAATAACAATATAGCAGCTCCTGTTCAATAGGAAGTTTGGTTCCAAGGTTTCAATGACTCTTCAACACCAGTCTGAACCATTGGTGACATCACAAGACAGGAGGGCCTGTGATCTCAGTAGCTGGGAGGCAGAGGCAAAAGAAACACATTTCAGGCTAGTTTGGCCTGTAGAGCAAGACCCTGTCTTCAAAATAATTTTTTTTTAAAGATGAAAATACACTCCTATACAATGTAAATGTTCTGAAAAGGGAGGCCACATTCATATACTTTTATCATATATTATGGAAAAAATTTTCTGTTTTCTGTTTTGCTGTTGTGCTGGCTCCTTTTATATCAATTTGATACAAGCTAAAATCACCTGGGAAGAGGGACTCACAACTCAGAAAATGAGTTGGCCTGTACTGGGGTATTGTGGGGAACCCCAGAGCAAAGTTAGCAGCTTAACAGCCATCTTTCCTACTACTCTCTTAGATACTAACATACTGGTAATTTTCCATTCTCCTATGACTGTTCTCTTGTTAACCATATGATGCAGCCTGACCCTGAAAGAGTCCCAGCTGCAGGCTTATCATATAGCAGAACAGCTGCATTCTGCTTGGAAGGACATTCTGTCTCCCTCACATCCTCCCTTTGGCCCATCCCCCCATTTCTCTGCTACTTAAACCCTGTGGTTATATTCAATAAATGAAACTTGATCAGAATACGGTCTTGTCTCCATCTCTCGTGTCTCTTGTCCCCTCATTCTCGCTCTCTCCCTTAGGGTCCCCGTTGACTGACCCCACAGGCTGGGGCAGGGTATTTCTTGATTGATGATTGATGTGGGAGGAGACAACTCACAGTGGGTGTGCCTTCCCTGGGCAGCTGGCCTGGGTTGCATAATAAAGCAGGCTGAGCAAGTCATAAGAGCAAGCCAGTTAAAAGTGCTCTTCCATGGCTTGTGTATCTTGCCTCAGGTTCCTGCCCCAACTTCCTTTAATGCTAAACTGTGGTATGGAAGTGTAAGCCTCTCCAGGTTCCTTTAGCACAACAATAGAAACCCTAACCAAGACAATTATGGTTGCACTTTTCTTATTCAGCCTTATTTATTAATTAAACTTTAATCACTGGTATGTGTGTGTAGGAAAACACACTATTCAGGGTTTGATGTTATCTTGTGGCTTTTGCTATCCCCTGGGCTCACAGGCTGTATCTCCCTTGGATAAACGGAGATGACAATGACAATAGGGTGATAGCATGTAGTGAGGGCAATGCTAATTGCTGTGCAGTCTTTTGGGTACTGTGTGTACAGTATCTCACGTAATCCTCATCACTCCTCTGTGAAGTAGAAACCATCACTGTCTCCACTTTCAGATGAGGAAACTGAAGAAGATGAAACAACCTACTGGTGTCCACAGAGCAAGGATCAGCTGGGCTGGGGCCCAGACTCAGAAGCTATATCCCTCACAGTCTTCACTACCAAGCCACACTACCTCCCAACTACATGGGTGGGTACGTGACTGAGGATAGACATCAACTCCTGATATATCCTTGGGACAAGTGGCACTTCTAGACAGGACAGTAGTTCTCTGAAGATTTCTGTCTAGCACTGAGAAGTAATTAAATAACTTATATTTATGCTTTTACTGTGGCCATAACTCGCAGGACACTGGAACAGCAGGCTACAAATGTTACATCTAAGTTTATATTCATGAGTATTTAAAAGTCCTTAATAACAACAACTGAAAGCTCCAGACATTTTTGTTTTTAAAAGGAGCTGTGTATATTTTACATTTGGTTAAGGGCATATCTGCTCTAGAAATGAGATGACCAGCTCTTCCAGAATATACAGCAACTGTCTCTACTTTTCCAGTGCCAGGCTTAGAAGATTTACGGTAAAGCCATGTTTCCAAGGAGGTCAGTACAAAAAACCAGACTTCTACAGGCAGTTTCTGGGTCAGACCAGTTTACCATCCATCGCAGTGGCTTCTGTTTTCTCCAGATGTTTATCACGAAGAGGCTCCGAAAAGGCTATTTTTCTGCTTACCCTCTCCCTCTGTTGTTTGGTGGTGTTGCTAACGGGCAAGGTTAAAATGAACTGGTCATCTGAGAGTTATGGAAAATATGGAATCAAGACTTAAGCAGGCCCCGTATTTTCGTTGTGAAAGGGGACTCGATTGGGTTCCTGTGTGCCAGAAGTGTGAAACCTGTGTCTTAGCCTGGAAGATCTTTGCTACCAAAGAGTGGTTCCGGAGGGTCAGTGACATATCCCAGAGGAGGTTCCTAGTCAGCATCCTGGGGCAGTTAAATAGCCTGTATTTATTACACTATTTCCAGAATATCCTACAGACCACCCAGGGAAAGGATTTCATCTATAACAGGTCCAGGATCAAACATAGCAGGAAGGAGGGGAAGGAGGAGAAGATTGTGAAGTCCTCCTTGAACCAGATGTTGGACGAAACAGTAGAGCAGAAGATGAAGGAAATCCTGTACTGGTTTGGCAACAGCACCCACCGGACTAAGGCAAATTACACTCTCTTGCTGCTGCAGATGTGCGACACAAAGTTACTGCTCACTGCTGCCAATGTGATCAGAGTCCTGTTCTTGAAAGAGTGGAGCAATATCGCAGGTGAGAGCAGAGGCCAGAGACCAGAATGCAGGCTTTTAAGGGGGCACAGGTGCAGGCTGACTTGGGAGGACAGTGACTGCCCACAGTGCAGGGCATGCTTCTGTGAACCTTGTCCTGATACCCACTCGTTTACCCGTTTGCCTGGGGAGAAACTGCTGAGTGCAACCTCATTCTAGAAAACTACCAGCTGAAACACAGAAGGAAGGACAGATCTTTCAACCCGGGGACTGAACACAGCTTTCTGTCTGCCTTGGGGCCAGGAATGGCTGGTTCCAGGCTCTGACCACTGCAAACTGCTGTCATTTCTTTCTTGCACCACGATTTGACTGGGTGTAGGAGGGATGCAAGAGTGAAACTGTGATTTGCTTCTTGGCTGCAATGGGCAGAAGCCGAGCCGAACGGCACAATTTACTGCTTACAAAAGTTTCATCTTACCATGTTTCTTGCTTAAGCATGAAACCAAATCTTAATAAGTTGTTTTAGAGGCCAAAATGTGACTAAAAGTCCAAAATTGCCCAGGGCACTAGTTCATAAGCAGTGGTTTGCATTCGAGTCTCCAACAGAGTTTGGTAAAATACAGACTATAGGTCTCTGTCAGAGCCTGACCCAGTAGCTGGTCCTAGGTGGTGTTTGGTGCACCTGAGGGGCCAGGTGTCTGTTTCTGGTTGATGCAGACATTGCTGGACCTTGCTGAGAACCTTCTTGGTCCTGAGTGTTGACAGAAAAGATTTGGAAGCCAAAGAAACCAGAAGAGAGGAGGGAGTCTATGGATTAGGAGGGGTCCTAGGGTAGAGAGATTTAGGGAGATAAGGGAATGGAGGAGAGGTTTTGCCAGGGGTGGGGAGCAGAGCAGGAGGTGTGGTCACACAGAGGAATTTTGGAGTTTGAGCTCTTGAAGGTGGGTATTTCCTGTCCCCAAAGGATATTTGAGTTGTGATCCTATCTGTAGGCTAATGGGACAACCCTGCCCCACTTCAGAGACAAGGTCTGCTTTTCTTGGCTAGCCTAGATGCTCAAGAGTATCCCTCCTCAGTCTCCCAAGAGCTGGGGTTAACTCATAGGAATGCACCGCCATTCATAACTTCCAAAGAAATTTCACTATACAATTAGATCCTTACACATGTCAATTGCCTTTTCCCCCCCCTCTCCTGCCCCCAGCACACTCCACTGTATTGTGTCCTACTGTGCAATGTGCATGCATGTCCCTAGCTCTCTGTCTATGGTTCTATCCCATGCTGTAAGACTCGGCTATTGGGGTTGCTTACGCCTAGTTAAAAATTAAGGCACATTTCTTTGCCTAGGAGAACATCTCTCTTAAAAAGTTAGAAGTTCTGGGGCTGGAGGGATGGTCCAGCAATTAGGGGAAGGCCCTGCTTTGCAGAGGTCCCTCCCATACTGGACAGTTCAAACCTCCTGCTCCTCCTGCTCCAGTGGACCCCACACTCTCTTCTGAACTCCAAGGGCATCTACACTCTAGTGCCCATATCTCCAACATGACACATAGTTAAGAATAATAAAAATAAATACTTCTTAAAAGTTAAGCTTTCTATTACACAAAGAAACCCTGCCTTAGAAACCAAAACCAAACAAAAGTTAAGATATCTAATCTGCTACAAGGCAGTTATCCGTTGAAGGAAATCAGGGAGAGCTTCAGAGATCCATCCTTCCTGCAACTCCTCCCATGGCTCCACCACTCTCTCCTCAAGAACAGGGTGTTAATGAAATCTGCAGTCTAGGTTTGTTGGCAGAACCCCGGTGGAGGCTTCCTCAGATTCTTACACCGAAACTTAGAGGCCTTGGGTAAAAACCAATAAGCCTCTGGTTTGTTCTATACATATGCTTCTCTTGCTATGTCTGTGTATGTGTGCTTGGGAGGGGGAGCACATGGATTCCAGGACCTCAATATCCATAGCTGCTCACATTCTTTTTTTTTTTTTTTTAATGTAAAGCAATCTGATATTTGTACTGCCTATGCAAACCTCCCAGGAACGTTAAATTGCCTCTAGTTCATTTATAAAACTGACTACAGACCAATTGTTGTGGTAGTTGCTATGCTGAACTGTTCAGAGACTAGTTAACAAAGCTCTATGCCTGTCTGAAGCAGACATGGCTTTCTAACTTTTATTTTATATTTTTAATTTTCAGTTAGCAGTTGACTGAATCTGAGAGGTTTAGGAAACTGGCTATATTTAAACCAAATGAGGAAAAGCCAGACCTTTTCTCCCTTCTTCATTCCCCTCTATACACCTACTTCGATAGCAAACTTGTTTTGGGTTTCATTCGTTCATCAGGCCTCCGTCAAGACTCCAGTGATGTAATATTTTACCCAGAGAAAAACTACAACCCTGCATCTGACACCTCATATATCTACTGGGCAGCTAGACCCAAACCCATGTCTTTCCCGATGTCCAGAGCTTTTCGAAATAAAGTCGGGACTGAAAATGTGGAGAGAGAAGCAACTACTGCAGGTGAGTCAGGTCTCCAAGACTTAGATGGCTCCACCTACAGGTTTTTTTTTTTTTTTTTTTTAACTTTTGGTGGGTCTTTTGTGACTTGATAGCATCCTGTGTCAGAGAATAACTGCACTTAATATAGTTTGACTTAAGATTTCTTTTTCTTTTTTAATGGTTATGGGGTGTCAAAATTTTTTGTTGTGGCTTTTTGGGTCAGTCTTAGTATGTATCCTGGCTGGCCTTGAACACCTGATCCTCCCTATCACAATCATAGTCATGACATTATTTTTACTTATGGTGACTTTTCCAGGATGTGACTTCATGTGACATCAAAGAGCTTCTATATGAGGCTGGGAAATCTCAGTGGAGTTAGGGGCACTGGCGAGGCGCTAGAAGCTGGGGACATTAGCTGTTAAGACTAACCTTCACTTAGCATTATGTGTTGGGCTCTTGGATTTTTTCTTTTTCTTTTTCTTTTTTTGTCATTTAGTTCTTACAGCTGGTAAGGGTAGAAGGATAAGATCACGTCAGTATTACCACTAATGCCCATGCTTTCATGTCCATGGGCTAAGATATTCCTGAAAACAGAGACCAGAAAGGAACTTTGGATTTTTCCCTGTATCCTAGGCCACAGTGTACACTGTCTCCTAAGCTCTACTATGGTACATGGTGGCCCTCTAGAGTTCAGCCCACCAGCGGCTGTGTTTGAAGCACTGGATTCAGTTTTGTGAGGGAAAAATAATGTTGTGGGGAATGTGGCTGTGGACCTGAAGACCTTCCCAAGTTCTTTGAAGTGAGGCACATGAACTCATGGGTCGTTAGTCCTAGCTGGCCTGTAGCTTGCTATGTAGATGACTCTGGACTTGAACTGAGCCTTCAGGTGGTGGAGTTAGAGGTGTACAGCACCACACTCAGCTAGGGATGTGTTTTGTGAAATGTATTGTCAGCTGATTCTGCCATTGTGTGAACATCTGGAAGCAAACTTTCATACACCTGCATGGTATAGCCTAGTATATACCAAGGCTAGGTCACACATGCTGTCCTTTATTGTCTGAAACAGTATGTGATTCATGACAGTCCATGAAATATGTATGAGAAATACAAAATACCTTTTAAATGAAAATTTCAAAACTTAAAGGTACACAGAACAGCACAATAGCTAGTCATACTGACCAATGATGATCAATGTTTTAGCAATGCTAGTATTTTTGTGATGCTGGTGACTGAACCTCAGACCTCATCCTTGCTAGTAAGTGCTGTATCACTGAGCTACACCTCTAATCCTGGAAATTTCAATTCATCACCCTTCCCTCTTTTCAAATTATTTTTTTTCACTAGAGCAGTGTGTGTGTGTGTGTGTGTGTGTGTGTGTGTGTGTGTGTGTGTGTGTGTGTGTGTGTAGATTCTGGGTGGGTCCATGTGGAAGTCAGAGGTTGACATAAGGTATTCTTCTTAATTGTTCTGCATTTTACTATTTTATTTTTTGAGGCAGGATCTCTTACTGAACTGGGAGCTCACTGATAGCTAGACTGTGAGCCCCAGGAATCTTTCTGTTTCTGCCTCCTCAGTGCTAGGATTACAGGTGTGGACTACAGCATCTGGCTTTTAAGTTGGTGTGTGGGACCAAGACTTACTTGGGCAGCAAGCACTTTCTGAACTGATCTCTCTCCATCTCTGATTGGAGTATTTCATAGGAAACTCCAGATAAGATGCCACTTCAGTCTTCACTACTAAAAACATATGGAGCTGATAAGCACTTAGATGTTTGAGTGGAGAGGTTCTATTTCCGCGGGCAAAGAGATTGATGAGAAGATCCAGTGGCCCAGGGGTAGACATGAAGATTTATTTGGGGACAAGCTTTCCAGTGGCTTTGTTTGGGGACTAGAGTTACTACAGACTCAACTCAACCATCTACCCCCCCTGCTTTGCTCTAGAGGAAAAAGGAAAGAGTTCACTCCAGTGTATTTCTGAGATGAATAGACAGCTTTCTGGAAAATCGGGCATATCCAAGTTGGAAGATGATCCCTGCAACCTGCTGCTGAGTCTAGACGAAGTCCAAGTGCTGTCCTCCGGGTCCAGCAAATATCGGGACTTTATCCGTTACCTGCCCCTCCACCTCTCCAAGTACATTCTAAGTATGCTGGGTGGTTGTAGGGACTTGGCAGGACTTCCCATCTGGGTCCAGCTCTGGGGGGGGGGTTCTGGGTGCATCTTCTTTCTTCTTCTTCTCCCAGGAATGCTGGATAGGAACAGCCTGAGCAGGTGTGCCTTTGTGAGCCAGCACTGGGCTGCTCTGACCCAGCAGGTCAAGGTGGACCTGTCCATGCACTCCTTCATTCAGAACCAGATTTCTCTCCTGCAGGTACTTTGGGTCTGAAAGGGGTGTGTCTAGAGACCAGCTCTGTTTCCATAGTAAGGCTGAGCATTGGTGTCTCCCTGCTAGACCCCAAAAGGGCTCCCTATCCACATATGCAGCCGCTCCCTGGTGCTCTGGCTTCCCTGTGGGTCAACATGTATCTTTCTGTTGTCATTGTACTCATCAGGAACAAATACAGAAACCTTTCAGGTGGGCCAGAATGATGGTTCAGTGGGTGAAGGAACCTGCTACCAAGCCGGATGACCTGAATTCAATCTCCTGAACCCACTTGATGAAAAGAGAGAAAAAATTTCTGCAAGTTGTCCTCTGGCCACACATGTGCTGTGGTACATGTGCTCACCCTCTATACACACATACACACAAATGTAGGAAATAATCATTTTCTTAAAAAAATAGAAATCTCCAAGGAGCCCAGGTACTTCCTAACCCTCAGGGGGCTGGGACTCCAGCCCATTGGTGGTGTTCTTTTCTAGCATGTGCAGAGCTCTGGGAGCTTTACCTTGTGAAATGATTTAATGTCATTAGCTAATGACCTCATATAGTGGAGAGAACATAGAACATAATATTTTGCATTTTCAAGAATATAATCTATTGTCATTATCTATTGGAAATTTATCATACAATAGACCTCTTGAATTACCATCTCTAGAACCACAAGATCAAAAACCAAACCAAATATATAGAGAGACAGAAAATTCTTCCTCTGCACAGAGAGTTATAGTGGCTTCTACAACCAGGGAGCCCATAGGTGAACTCCTGAATCAGCTTTGAGCTATCCATATAGTTACAAGGCCCAAATGCACAGGGTTTAGGTTAATAAAGTTTTCTCCAACAGTAAGCATCTCTAGCATTTCTACCTTCATTTCTTACCTGGAACCTAACCCAAACCATTTGTTCAGGTGGTGACTAAGGAAGAGAGGCAGGCACAGTTAGTAGGTCACTGTCAGGATCCACTCCTCTCTCATGTTGGCTTCCTTCCAGGCATTTGGCATTCACCATCTTTCTTGATTTGTTCACACACAATCTTGCTTTAACTGGTCAGGCCTGATCACCTTCAGATTTCACCAAGAACTAGTCTTCCCCCTTTCTTCTGGAGGGTAGAAATGAAGAGGAATCATTCTGTGTGTGTGTGTGTGTGTGTGTGTGTGTGTGTGTGTGTGTGTGTGCGCGCGCATGCATGTGCACGTGTGTGCATGCATGTGTGCATGTATGTGTGTGCTTGTACATGCATGCATGTGGTGTGTGCGTTCATGTGTGCACGTGGTGTGTGTGTGGTATTCATGTTTTGAATATATATTTAAGGCTGGGGATGTATCTCAGTAGTAGAGTGGTTGCTTCAACCCCTAGTACCACAGAATATTTTTCTTGAGGTAATAGATAACATTGTACTATTTATTATGTAGAATATGATGTTTTGAAGTATATGTACATCATGGAATGGTTAAATGCCACCAATGAATGCATCACTTCACCCAGAGAGAGACCACTTAGCTTTGCATTTTCAAGAATACAATAATCTTCATTAGCTATTGTGAACTTACCATACAATATATATGTCAAAGCTCCTCCTGTCTAATTCTACTTATGTGTCCTTTGACCACAACCTTTGCCCCCTACTGCCCTGGAACCATCTCACTATTCTTTACACTTTCCATGAGATCAACTTAGATTCCACACAAGTGAGATCATGTATTTGTCTCTATGTGCCTGGATTATTTCACCTAACATAATGTCCTCTACCTCCATGCACATTGTTCCAAATGCTTTGTTGTATTCCATTGTGGGTGCGCGCGCACACACACACACACACACACACACACGCACACACACACACCTTTTTTCTTTATTCTTCTTTAATGGATATTTACTTAGTTCTATACTTTAGTTATTGTGGATAGTATGATAATAAACCCGAGAGTACAGATATGCAAGTATATTATTTCTTATTTTTTTTTTAACCACACAGGGTTCCTACACAAGGGGAATAGATCCTAACTATGCCAGCAAAGTCTCTATCCCAGTCCCTAAAATCATAGATGAAGGGAAGCGTATGCGGTCAAAAAATCAGAAGTGGAAACTGAGAACAAAGGTGGGTTTCACTGATTCCTGGGGTAAGTAGCTGAAAGTGTCAGTGTTCCTCTTGGCCACTGAAGCTTGACATCCACAAACAAGGACACAGGCTCATGGGAGGTCCTGTGTTGCTACCCACACACAAGTCATTCCTTCTATGTAGTAAGCCTTGATGTCATCATATGCTGGCTGAGTGGAATTCATTGGATTGTCTTCTAAGTGGTCTATGCCAATAGCATTAAGTCATCTAAGTGGAGATTTTAGAGGCTGGGAACAGTGTCAGCCACACCCCAGATTCCCTTTTGTCTTAGGAGACCACACATCTCAAGACTACTTGGGAATGATAAGGACGTAAAAAGAGAGCTAAGGCTTGTTTAGAATGCCAGATTCCTCACTTCACTACCAGGTTCATTCTGATGCTTGATGGAGATGGAGGGGAGAATCAGTTACCTATAGCTCTCCTCATGGGTTGAGGCAATAATATAGACCAAAGGGAAGACACTTGGAGCATTATGCATTTAGGTTCTGAGTTCTGCCGCTCTGTTAAAGCTCCATTTATTCTGAAATCTATTCAGTTGGTACTAAAAGGATATTTTAATAAGAAGTGGTTTGATGTGGGTGCCTATAGAGTCCCTGTGGAGTATAATTTAGAGATGGTTTATCTCTTGTGTGTGCAGGGCTAGGGAGAGAATGCAGAGGGAGTGGTGGCATGGCCTGTGAGGGATAGTGAGACTGTGATGAAATGAGAGCCTGCAGCCCTCCCAAGGGCCTGGTTGCTATGCAACTCCAGTTAATTCTGCCATTGAGGACTGGGGAATCTGACCTTTCAGACAGACACTTTGAATTTTCAGGATAAGGGAAAAATCAGTTATGTGAATCTCTTGCATTGCCAGGTGTGGTGGTACACATCTGAAATCTCAGCTAAGGCAGGAGGATTTCCTAGGCTACGTAGTCATAGTGAGTTTAAAGCCAGCTTGAGCTGGCTCAAAACAAACAAATGGAACCTCTTGCCTTTTTAAAACATGATAGCAGCCAGTTAATGGGAGTTTTCACAAACTACGTAAATTAAGAATCTTATTTACCTGCAAGATTTCAACTCCAAGTTGGTCCATCTGTCCATTTTGTAAATAAACAGGGTCAGAAACTCAAGGACTTCTAGCCAGTTGAGTGACAAAGACATATGTTAACCTCCCCCCCCCACACGTCTTTTCTAAGGCTATTTCTCTTTTATGTCTAATAAGCTTCATGGGTCCTGGAGATAAGGCAAGTGTACAGATCCTTCAGGAGCAAGACTGTTAGGTGAGCATCTCTATGTGGTTAAAGCTCAAGGCCAGTGAGAGAGGGTTGAAGGCATTTGAGGAAGAGTCCAGGACATGGGAGAATGCTGAGTTTGAAAGAGGCTTCAAAAGGGATGTTCCCGGGCTTGTCTGGTGCAAACATGATGTTGTTGTCTTTGCTCTCATGACAGTCGTACACTTTATTTCCTACAAGTCGGGTGTGACTGTTTTTCCAGGTTTTTTTTTTTTTTTTTTTTTTTTTTTTAGGACTGGGGAGAGGGATGGAAATGAAAGTTCGGTTCAGTCTTCTATACCAGAATATTTCATGCCTGGTAGACTGGAGCCATTCAGAAATTGTGCGGGGAATGGCTGGAGGAAAGGAAGGAGGAAAGGGGAAAGAAGGGAAGAAGGAAAAATGAGAAGCAAAGGCAATCACCCCTACTGAGATTTGATGAAACCCATTTTCTATTTCTGAGTCTCAGATACGTCACCTGTAAGGTGATGGGAGTACCAATTTTGTGACATGGTTGGTCAAAGGCAGCTGTAATTTGATGTATGACCATACTCATGTGAGTATGTCTGTGTGAGTATGTCCATGTGAGCATGTCTATGTGATCTAGCCTGTGTGAGCATGTCCACGTGAGCTCATTTTCAGTAAAGTCATGCTCCAGGCAACACTTGGAATTCAGCCACGAAAGTGCATAGAACTGAACTGTAGAAAATTCAGAGGTGAAACATGAATTAGTATTCTCATTTTAGTGTTTCCTCGCACAGGTAACTTCAGTGTCTGTTTATCTTCCCATCAACCCTCAACAGCAGCTACATCCTTGAAGGGAAGAGTCTGTGGGAGATTGGGGATGGGGGCAGTGCATCCAGGACTCGGGGTAAAGTCCATGCCACCTTTGACACCAACTGTCTCTTCTTTAGAATGATTACAACTTGTGGACTGCATACCAGAACCAGGAAACTCAGATGGTCCAGATGGAGGAGAGGAATGTTTTCTGTGGCACCTACAACATCCGCATTCTCTCTGACATGTAAGCACTGGTGTGAGAAGTTAGATCTTTAGGCTTCATTGGACCTTCATTGATGAGGGAAGGCAGAGCTCCTCCACTTAGGCTCCTGGTTTGAACTAGTGTCAGATCCTGATTGAATAACATATGTTTACTTTGCACCCTTCTCTGTAGTATGGAACACCTTCATTAATTTTAGGTATTCTGATCAAAAAGTTTTTGTACAGCTTACACACAGAAATCTTTGGTTCTTTGACAATTTCACAATCGTCTTTCTCCAACTTAAGAACTAACACATGGAGAGAAGTCCTATAAATCCAGCCAGTATACAGAGAAATACAAGTCTCTTGTAATTGTGTCACTAAGAGACAGCCACATACTAATATTTGTCTTAGGTAGGGTTACTATTGGTGTGAAGAAACAACATGACCAAAAGCAACTTGGGAAAGAAAGGGTTTATTTAGCTTACTTATCCTGAATCACAGTCAATTGAGGGAAGCCAAGGTAGGAACTCAAACTGGGCAGGTACCTGAAGACAGGAGCTAATGCAGAGGCCATGGAGGGGTGCTGCTTACATGGCTTGCTCAGCCTGCTTTCCTATAGAACCCAGGACCACCAGCCCAAGGGTGTCCCTACCCACAATGGTTTGGGCTTTTTCATATCAATCACTAATTAAGAAAATGCCCTACCGGCTTTCCTATAGCCCTGTCTTATGGAGGCAATTTCGGTTGAAATTCCCTCCTCTCATGTGACTCCAGCTAATTTCAACCTGACATAAATCTAGTAAACACAATATTGACCTCTAACCTCCAGAAGAGTGTCTTTGAACACATGGCACATACTTGAAGGAAATGGGATTATATTATTTATACATTTCTGTAACATGTTACAACAAAACACTCTGGTATCTATTCTAAATATGAAAATGTACTTATAATAATTGTACCATGTGACATCATTTGGATATGCCACAAGAAGGCTTTATCTATCTATCTATCTATCTATCTATCTATCTATCTATCTATCTATCTATCTATCTATGTGAGGCTGGGAACGGAACATGGGGCCTCACACATGCTAAGACAGTATACACCTGCCACTGAGTCATAACCCCAGCCCCAAGAAAGGGTTTTAGTAGTTTATGTTTTGCCATATTTTTGGCCTGGGTCCTTTCTTTTTTATTCACAAGGTTCTGTGGAGGCCACCTGTATTTTATTTTCAGCCTGTGTGGGATAATTTTACAAATTGTTTGGTGACAGCTGCTCTGTAGATGTGTGGGGGTGGGATGGGGGGTGGTAGTGGTTGTACTATAGATACGACAGAAGCAGCCAGGAGATAAATACCAAGAATTTTTCCTGTTCAAAGTGATTTTGTCTTGTTTGTTATAACATTGCCTCCTTACTCTGCAGCCACAGTGTACTTAATAACAATGTCTTCTTTCACAATGAAGGATGACTCCACTTGGACAAATTATTTGGTCATCTTGTTCATAATACCCAGTTCTATAATACTTTTCCGATTGGGAAATCAATTCATCTCACCTGGCAGTGGTGGACTGACTATAAAGCTCACAGTGAGCAAGGGCCGTGTTACACTCTTGTTTACTGTCAGTGGTACTTACTGGTGTAGAATTCCAGTCCTAAGAACTGCTCCTTGGATGCTGGCTAAGGGGAAAAGACAGGGATAGGAAAGTCAGTGTACATGGGTCTTCCCAACTATATTCCTCTGAAGTTTTCTATGACTTCCATGGTCAACCAAACCAAGTTTGGGAACTGTCACTCAGTCTAGTCTATCTTTAGGGGATTTCACATACATAAGCAGAACATACATACATACATACATACATACATACATACATACATTTAACTCATGTCTTCAGGGTTTAATGCTCCCTGGCATAAATTTCTGTGGTGTGAGGCAGGGGTCATCAGTTGTTGTGGAAGCCCAGGAAGGACACTAACTCCTCTCTCTTACCATCCATCCCCTGCACATCTTGAAACCCAGGAGGGACCAGAATAGGATCATCCACTATAATGGGGGAGACCTGATGGCTGTATCATCCAATCGGAAGATCCACCTTCTGAACGTCATGCAGGCTAGGGAGATGCCCATTGAGTTCCGAGGACATGCTGGCAGCGTCAGGGCTCTCTTCCTGTCTGAGGAGGAGAACATTCTCTTCAGTGGGAGCTACGACCTGAGTATCAGGTGAGAGAGAGGTCCACAGTCAAGATCATTTTCCTGCCTAGGGCCAGCAAAAACTAGGCTTTTGTGAGAAGCATGCATGGCACACTCCCCCCCTTTTGTATTTATTAATAGGTTATCTTTTTTTAAAATTTATTTTATATAACAAAGTCCATTTAAATGAAAACAAACATTTATAGACAATATTTGGGAATTTGGGCGTTGTTCTTTCCAAACTACTTCCTGCTGGTAAGGGGCGCTGTCATGGGGGATTCAAAGAAGATTCAGAAATCCTGGCTGTAGTCTGTAAGGCTGCTTTGTCCAGCTGTTTTGAATGTAGGATCACCTCGTACTGTTTCAGGAGGTCTGGCTTGATCAAACCACATTAGTCTGGAAGGAATCCACATCTTCTCATTTTCTGTGGAAACAAAAATAGAAATCCTTTTCCCCAGTAACTTGTCCTTCAACTTAAATTTTGGAGTCAAAGCATTTTTTTTAAATTTAATTTATTATTTTACATGTTGATCCCAGTTCCCTCTCCCTCCCTCCCTCCCTTCCTCTTTCCTTCCCTCCCTCTCTCCTTCCCTCCCTTTTACCCTCTCAGCCCTCTCACATGCACTCTAACCACCCTCCCCTCCCATCCCCCCACCCCAATTCCATATGTAGGGGAATGCCATCCAGTTGGGGTCATGTAGACCCCTGTCACATGACAGGTCATGTGAAGTAGGGACTAGGGCTTCTCTCCTGTCTCTAGATTAAGGCAGTTATCCCTCCATGGGGGATGTGTTCACAAAGTCCTTTTGTGCACCAGGGATACATCCTGGCTCCAGTGTCTGAGGTCCCTTAGGCTGCTCAGTCCTTCTGGCTGAGACCCATATTCAGGGGGGCCTGAGTCAGTCCCATGCTGGCTTCCCAGCTATCAGTCTAGTGGACGTTAGCTCCTCCTTGTTCAGGTAAGATGTCTGTATGTGTTTCTGCCGCATGGTCTTGTCCTCTCCATCTGCATCTGGGTTCTAGTTCGACTCAGTGTTTATGTATGGGTGTTTGATCCTGTTTCCAACAGGCATTAGTTGAGGGCTCCATGGACGGGAAGGGCATTTATGATAGCCTTTCCACGGAAGCTCAAATTGTCAGTTGGGAGCAATCTTGTAGTTCTCTAGACCTTTCTTTGTGTTCAATTTTATCTTCAAACCAATATTGGCGCCCTCTTTTATGTTCTCTCTCTCTGTCTCTGTCTCTCTCTCTTTCCTGTTTTCTATTCCTAACCAGGCTCAATCTTCCTGGTTGCACATGTTTTTCTTTCCTCCCCCTCGTTTTCTCCCACTTCTCTCTCTATTTGCTGCCCCCCCCACTGCCCCTGAGCTCTGGGGGACTTGTCCCTTCCCAGTTCTGTGAGGGACTTTATATGAATCTCTTAGAATACACCTTGTATCCTAGTTCCTCTGGTGGTGTGAATTATAGGCTGGTGATCCTTTGATCTAGGTCTAAAATCCATATATGAGTAAGTACATACTGTGTTCCTCTTTATGTGACTGGGTTACCTCATTCAGGATGGTTTCTTCAAGTGCCATCCACTTGCCTGCGAATTTCAAGATACCATTATTTTTTCCTGCAGAGCAGTATTCCATTGTGTAGATGTGCCACATCTTCATTAACCATTCTTCAATTGAGGGGCATCTAGGTTGCTTCCAGGTTCTTGCTATTACAAATAATGCTGCTATGAACATAGTTGAGCAGATGTCTTAGTTGCATGGATGTGAATCCTTTGTGTATATGCCTAAGAGGGGGATTGCCGGGTCCTGTGGTAAACTAATTCCCATTTTCCTGAGGAACCGCCATACTGATCTCCAAAATGGCTGTATGAGTTTGCACTCCCACCAGCAGTGGAGGAGTGTTCCCCTTTCTCCACATCCTCTCCAACATAAATCATCATTGGTACCCTTGAACAAATTGGTATAGGAGACGGCTTCCTGAACATAACTCCAGGGGCACAGACACTGAGAGAAACAATTAATAAATGGGACCTCTTCAAACTTAGAAGCTTCTGTAAGGCAAAGGACACAGTGGACAAGACCAAACGTCAGCCCACAGACTGGGAAAAGATTTTCACCAATCCTATATCCGACAAAGGGCTGATCTCCAAAATATACAAAGAACTCAAGAAATTAGTCAACAAAACACCAAATAACCCTATTAAAAAATGAGGTACAGAACTTAAGAAAGAATTCTCAATAGAGGAAATCAAAAAGGCTGAAAGACACTTAAGAAAATGCTCCACATCCTTAGCTATCAGGGAAATGCAAATCAAAACAACTTTGAGATACCATCTTACCCCTGCCAGAATGGCTAAAATTAATAGGTTATCTTACACTATTATTAGTCCTATATATAAAAGTAGATATTTTTTACAAGATAAAGGCCAAGATATTATTTACTATTTAAAATTTTGAAATAAATTTGCAAGTTATCAGATGTTGGCATTGAAAATCTTGTCTTTTAAAATATTCTGAAAGTAATTTACATATATTTTTTAAAAATAAATTCCTTCAAAGGAAGTTAGATTTTTTTCATGGGTGTGAAATATAATGTGGATGCAAACTCATGTTTAAACCATACATATTCATATGCCTCCTGAATGTCTGGATTTGTGGTGTCTTTGCTAAGGCCCTATGTTATCTATGTTATTTTATTTTTGCCTTTCACTTTCAGCTCTCCAGTCTACTCACAACTCATTTTTGTTATGACCTCCTATTAAGAGGCTCTCCAGTTGTGTCCCCAACCGTCTCAGCACCGTTTATGAAAAAGAATGTCCTCCCCACCCTGATCTATATGGCTAGCTGTATTCTGAGAGATGAATCTCTATTTTGCCATTTCTGGGCTCTCAGTTCTACTTCAGATTCCTTTGCTTGCCTTTGCTCAACAATGTTTTAATTACTTTGGTTTTTGAATCTCTATATCTGGTAGGGCAAGTCCTTTATCTCATGCACCTTGTGGCTCTTCTCTGACTTTTGTTTGGTTTGGTTTATTTCCAGGTTTGCTTTTGGACATTAAGGGAAATGAGCTGCCTGTAATGGGCCAGCTCATACCGTATGATCATTACAAGTCTGAACAGGGTTTCATTTCTGTTTTTATCCATCTGTTAGTTTGCTCTAGCTTATCTCTGCCTCTACCTTCCCTCCTATTCCTCAGGGTACTATCTGCCCCTAGCCCCAGTGTTGGGGACTGAACCCATTACTTCCCAAATGCAAGACACTGAGTGTTGCTGTAAACACCTCCTAATCTTTTTCAGTGTGTAGCCACTTTTCCCTTTTTTGAGATAGAGTTTATTACTGTCCTAGAACTCACCTAGCATGCTGGGCTGACTAGTCAATAACTCCCAGGGATCTGCCACCTCCCCAGCACTCACATTACAAACACAGATCACCACACCATGCTTTGCATTGTGTGGGTTCTGGAGGTCAGACTCAGGCCCTTGTCTTTCTTACTAAGTTATCTCCCCAGCTCCCTTCTTTGTTTTGTTTAACACTCTCCTTATACCAGTCTTGTGCACTCTTACTAAGCCTCATAATAATATTTAATTCTGAATGGCATCACAGCCTTGTGTTTTCACATTGGAGGAAGGAATGGTTTTGAGTTTTGTTAGGCTGATCTGTGACCAGCAGACTTGTTCACCTCTATTACTAGTTCTAAAGTGCACACTGTGCTTGCTGATTTGGTTTTCCAGTGAGGACAGTCTTACCAGCGCTATCACTGACTAGGCTCTGTTGCCTTCTGACTACCTAGCTATCTAAAGTATCCCAATATAGTTGGATCCTCTGGGCCTTCAGTAAATCTCTACCCCACTCCCCATTTCTGCAGATACTGGGATGTGACAACTGGGGCTTGCATACGAATCTTCTATGGCCACCAGGGAACAATCACTTGCCTGGATTTATATAAGAACAAGCTTGTATCTGGAGCAAGAGATGGACAGGTAAAAGGTGAGAAATCTGCCTTAATTTTCTTGTTTTCTTCCCTCCCTGTTCCCCCCTCCTCTCTCATTCCCTCCCCTCTTTCTTTCCCTCTTCTCCACCTTAGACAGGGTCTCCTATACAGCCTGGGATGCTTTGAACTCATGATTCTCCTATCTCAGCCCCCTGGATTCTGGAATTTCAGGCACATTCAACCTCATTCAGCTTGTGCTTTACTTATTTCTATAATTAGCCTTTATTCTCTTATTTGTGCATCTATTCATACATCTGTCAATCTATCCACCCAACAATACTTCAGAATCCCTTGCTTAGGGAATGGTGAGTCATGTCACCTTAATTAATGTAGTTAAGATAATTCCCAAAAGACATGTTCTGAGGCCCATCACCCAGGTGATTCTAGATTTTGTCAAGTTGATAGTTAACACCACCATCACAACCACTGAGGCAGAAAAGTAGCCACAGTCGGAGCAACAAAGATAGAAAGTAGGGATTTGAATCAAAGACTGTACGGCTCCCAGTAAAATGCTTCTAGCTGCATGCAGTGATCAAAGGGACAATAGAAAAAAAGAGTAAATTAGGAAAAGCCCCATCAGCAGGATGCCACTTGAGAGTGATCTTAAAGATGAGTAGTTTCATAGGCAGGTAGTGGAAGGTAATCCAAGCAGAGTGAACAAGGACAGACAGATATGTAGGAGGATGAAGAAACTGTAGTGAGCACTTCCTATGCTTCATTGTGGCTGGACTGCTGTGTGTGGTATTGGATATTCTTCTAAGATTGTTTGGGGGTGAGTTATAGAGAGCTTTCTGTATCACAACGCAAAATTGAACCTTACAGCCACAGGTGTGTTTTCACCTGTGAACCTGACGCAATCTAACAATAACTCAGATGAGAGTTTGAAGAACTTGGAAGAGGGTGACCATGTGGAGATGGGGAACAAACTAAGACACTTTGGGGCCTAGAACACTGACACAGTGTCTTCACAATACTTGAGAACAAACAAGCATGAGGAAACTCAGATGGATGTAGCTTCATATTCAATGGCCCAGGTGAGAGATTTCCAGAGGGGAAATTGCCAGGACTCTCTCATCAACTGGATATAAAATGAAGGCTATAAAAGACCATTAAAAAAACCCAGGCTGACTGGCATATAAAAATATAATTCATGGAAATAACATAGACTTTAGAGGGAGAACAAAGTAGGGAGAAAATAGAGAGGAAGTCATGGGTTCAGTTTTGGGCATGTCAAGTATGGCAGGCAGAGACAGCAATGCCCAAGCCAAAGTGTTTTCACCCTAACCCTTGGAACTGGTGCCTACCTTATCTTGTGCTAGGTTGTGTTTCCCCTAAAGGCTCATGTGTTGGAAGCTTGGTCACCACTGTGGAAGGTGGAAGTGACATAGGGAAGCTTTTGAACCAACTTGGGACACTGTTCACAGAAAGGATTATGGGACTCCAGTTGCTCCCTTATATCCAGTTCAACAATGTTCCTACACACACACACACACACACACACACACACACACACACACACACTTCTACCAGTAGTGATACAACCAAGAGATCCCTCTACAGAGCTGAGTACCATGCCCTGAAACCTTCAAGCCTTTGAGCTGAATAAGCTTTCTCTTTGTAAATACATATGTCAGGTATTTTGTTAAAGCAACGGCATACAGACTAAAACATCTTGGGAAGCAAAAAAGGATTTTTTTTTCAGATATGGTTAAGTTAATGACCTTAGAATGTGGAGATTATTCTGGATTATCGATAGTGGGCCGGCGTATTCATGTGGCCCCATAAAAAAGAAGTGTTCTTGACTGTGACCCAATGGTGGTATGACTGTGAAAGAGCGTTGGGGAGATGGAATGTTGCTGACTTTGAAGGTGGAAGAATGGATGAATAATGAACCAAGGGGTAGGGTAGTTTCCAGAAGCCCACAGAGAAGGAGAATGAAATGGATTTTCTGTGGTCCCACTGTAGGGGGACTTATTCATGTTGACTCCTTGATTTTAGCCTTCTTGATTTTAGCCACGTGATATCATATCTCACGTCTGTCAAAGACTATACATTTGTATTTCAGCCAGAAACCTTGTGTCAGTATGTAGCAGCCTAAGAGAGTAAATTCAATGAAGGTAAATTCATGAGGACACTCCAGTGAGCATTTCCTGGAAACAGATGCCCTGGGCGAGGGGGTCTAGATAGGTGGAATCTGATAGTTGTCCCCATGTATTCATAGGAGACCAATGCCGGGAAATGCATGTGAAATAGCATGCCACTTGTATTCGACTTCTATATATCCTCCTGTATGCCTTAAACCACCTCCTCCTCTGCAGTATGGCGTAGAGACAGTGTTTGCTCTGTGTGTGAGAGCACAAGGCAGACACTTCAGTTCCTTGCTCACTGTTAATGTTTTGCAAGTCTCAGATATGGCCATTTTCCTCTTAGGTTACTTGTTCTCCCAATTCAGGACAAAAGAACCTCTGGGAGCTGGGGAAGTAGGACTTTTCAGCATTTATCCTGGAATTTGTGGTCCCCACTGAAGCATCTCATAGCTCTATTTGCTCACATATCCATCCCTCCCATCCCCACCTAACCTTGGGAACTCTTGATAGTGCAGTTGCTCTAACACAGTCTGCAGAGTGAAAATGATGCCACAAAATCCCAAGGTCAGAGTCAGAAATACCTAGAAAGTATGACAACTTGCCTTCTGTTGATGGAAGGTATGGGCCAGGAAGAGAGCACTTGGGGAAAGGTCATGACACTAGATATGCCTTGATTTTCATGAACTATGTTCAATAGCAAGCATGATTTAGGCTTATTGTCCATCAGTCGTCCAGCATGGCAGTTCCAAGGCAGAGTTCCAAGGCAAAGGCCCTCTTCGTTGCTGGCTTTTCCAAGGGTCTGTTGTCAGGGGGCTCTGGGTCATTGCTGGGTGAGTGTGGAGGGATACTAGCCAGGTGATGGTTTCTGGGGAAGACTCAGCAAGCAAGCTCAGCTTTGCAATAAGAAGCAGAACTTCACTGTAACCCTCTCCGATTCCCCCTTGCCTCTCCTGTCACCCTCTCCCCTTCAGAATGGGACATAGAGACAGGGAAGTGCCTGAAGACATTTAAACACAAAGATGCCATCTTGGCTGTCAAGATCAGTGAGAACTACATCGTGAGCAGCTGTGAGCGAGGCATGGTCAAGGTGTGGCATATTGCCACAGCTCAGCTGCTAAAGGTGAGTAGTCAGGAGTAGGAACATTGGTGAATGATTAAAAGGACATGAAAGTCTGTCACTCTGTGCAGCTCCCTACACCATACTCAAGCAATAGAGTGACAGCCAGCAACCAGGGAAACTCAGAATCACTCAAGGAACGGTCTCCAGAAACAATCAGGATAGGTCAGTATCATAGGTTCCACCCCCACACCATGTCCCACGTTATCACATAGTGGGTGGTTGAAGGCTGCTTACTATATGAGCCCCAGGGCCTTGTAACTAAGGCAGAGGTAAAGTACCTTTCCTCTTCTGGAGTAGCTTCCCTGGCCTGAGTGGTGGTCAGGGGAGGAACACATTTTTTTTTCCATTAAATTATTTTCTCTTTTTCTAAGGAAGCCCCATCACCAATTATTTCAGTAAAGCAAGAAATGTTTGTCCTTACTGATAAGAGAACACCTGACATCTTAAAAGCCATTAGAAGTTGTCTTAGTCCATGTTTTGTTACTCTAACATAGAGGTTCATTTAGCTCATAGATCTGGAGGTTGAGAAGTCCAAGGACAGTGCTGGTATCTAGTAAAGGCCTTTGTGTCAGGCCATGCCATGGTGGAGAGTGTCAGATGGTGACACAGACAAAGCATGGCAGACATCACTGCTCTGTTAACAGTCTCTCCCGGGACAAGCCACAAGTCCTTGACCAGATCAGTATGTTCCTGAGAGCAGAGCATTACAGGGCTAACCCTCTCAGAGGCCCAACATTGACTTGTGAATTTGAAGGTTCAACTTCTAACACCTGAATTCTGTGGGGGTACATCCAAACCACAGCATGCATCCACAAGCATTCTTGCTGGATTTGGACTCCTGGCTTTAGTGGGTATTAGCAAGAGCTTGCTTGCACCAAGACCACAAGACCAGAGGGAAACGTAGGATCTTTCCATATATACCCTCTGAGCCATGGCAAAGAGCTGAGGATGACAGTAGAAGAGGGACTTTGGACCGCTCTGTGCTCCATGGATGAAGACAGGATAAAGGAAGCCCACAAGCAACCAAATAAAGAAGTAACAGATATTTATTTGGGGAGCACTCACACAATGATGGTAATTAACTGCCGCGGTCTTCTGCTCCTGGAGATGTAACATCTGTCCTGCAGGATGCTTCCCACCACAACCCAAGAGAGCACTCTAGGAGTCCCTCCTCTTCCTTATAAGGGGTCATATCTGCACAATGAAGCCACACCCTAAGGTATGGCCCATTATCTCAAGTCTATTGGCAGAAAAAGATGACACTACACAGGTCATCTACACTGACCCACCAGAAGAAGAACTTACTTTAGTCACATTCTCTCTAAGTGGAGAAGAGCCTTCTGCCATGAGGGAGGCATGGGCATCTCTAGCCTTCTTACAGGAGAAGTTAAGTTAGATGAGGGACATGCTAAGTGAGAGGGAGTCACAGAGGAGTAGAATATAGCTTGTTGATTTAGCTGAAGAAGCCTCCAGCTCTGGCCAGCGGAGGATTAACAGCCTGAACCGAGAGGGTTTGAAAGCAGTGGTGTCTTTTCTTGCAGACTCTCACCGGGCACGAGGGAGCTGTGAGGTGCCTGTTCTTTAACCAATGGCATCTTGTCTCTGGAGGTGCTGATGGCCTGGTCATGGCCTGGAGCATGGTGGGAAAGTACGAGCGGTGCCTGATGGCCTTCAAGCATCCTAAGTAGGTGCTGGGAAGTGGGGTGGTGAAATATGGCATTCCCTTCTTTCCCTAGCCCTGCAGAGAATGCGGTCTTCAGTGATGGGTCCCTCTGTGCACTGCTGTTCTCCTGGCCCTTCTTTTCCTCACTCCTTTCTGCTTTCTTCCCATTTCTACCATTACCCTCTCTTCTGGACATTCTTTCCTTCCCTAGCTTGTTTCTCCCTAGAAATAATAGCACTAGATACAAAATTTGAGAAGTTGCTGGGGAAAATGGGGTAGAGTGGGAGTAGGTCTCCCTATGTAGCCCAGGCTGGCTTTGAACTTGTGATCTTGCTTTGGTCTACTGACTGCTGAGATTACAGAAAATATGTGACACATGACAAACTCACATCTGCTAGCTATTTGGTGCACTGACAGATTGTCCCAAATAATGCCAACTCTAAGCTCAGGGTTCTTGAATTTGCTTTCTGCCAGGAATTGTGCTTGCAAAACCTTAAAATGATCCACATGCCAAATTTTCAAAAATAATGAAAGACATTTTAAGAGTTTATACTTCAAAGTCTATGGACTAGGGTTTTTTCCTCCCCAGGATTGCAAATGGGTTCATTTTCCATTTCAGTTCAAACCCAGTGCTCATGGCTGCTTGGCGCCTATTAAGAAGTTTCCTGAGGTCACAGATGGGCTCACTTGGAAAGGCTATTGTGGCTAATTAATGATTCTGCTGTGTCTATGGTTTTATAGACTACATGGATAATGCTTTTTACTCTTGGGGCATTAAGTGCTAAGAAACATAATGCTATATTACTTGATTAAAAGAGTAAGTGGATTTCCTAGGGGAATCTATCTGAGGACAGCTGTTTAATAAGTCAGGCTCTAGATTTCCTGATACTCCTTATACACCAGCCTTGTGAGAGGCATATGGTTAAAGGATATGTGTATACATGGGTATTATCTTATTAGCAGGTGGGGGGTGCTGGGAAAACACCCATACCTGGTGAATTGATCTAATTCATAGGGACCTCTGAGCAAGCCATTTATTGTAGTACCTGGACTTCAAGGAGAAAGGCAACTTTATGATGTCTCCTGAAATTTATTAACTGTATGTTTTTAAAACCTTCTAGCTGGGCCGTGGTGGCCCACGCCTTTAATTCCAGCACTTGGGAAGCAGAGGCAGGCAGATCTCTGTGAGTCTGAAGCCAGTCTGGTCACCTTTCTAAACTGTATCCAGTAAGACTTGATGAATGGAAAATAATAGTTTCAATGAACCTGTCAGTTTGGTTGTCATCTCAATAACCCATGGGCCTTCTGTTTGCTAGCAGACAGCTTCTGATACCACCACTCTTGCTGGATGTCATCACCAACATACCATTCATTTTGTTATCTAAAAATTTTAAATTATATTTACTAACTTTATTTTTTGTGTGAGTGTTTTACCTGCATGTAAGTATGTGCATCATGTGAACTCGGTACTCGTGGAGGTCTGAAAAGGGTATCGGGTCCCCTAGAACTAGAGCTATAGGTAACTATAAGTAAACCATTGTGTGTGTGCTGGGAACCAAGTCCAGTTCTCTGCAAGAGCAACAAGTGCTCTTGCTTACTGAACCATTTCCAGCCTCATATTGGTTCTTGATACCTGGCATGGACATAGAGAAACCACAGCTACCTAGAGGATGTGGCTAAAGCTTTTGTTTGTAGGCGCCTCTAGCCCTCTGTAATGGTGTTAGCTGGATACAGGTGCTCAAAAATATTTGATTGAGCAAGCATTCACTTATAGATTGCTTTTCTGAACAGTTCTAGTGACTGGACTGATGCTCATCTTTTGAATGTGGAAGACAGTTACTATCTCGAAGGAGAGCTAGAGAAAGGCACCTCTCTCTCTTAAATTCAATTATATTTTAAACTAAAATTATGAATTTTTATTACAGTGTGGAGAAGAATATGAGGGAAGAATCTGAGTGTGGAGTTAGTTTGACAGTTGGTGATCTTATATTCTGTTTGTTTTTTAATAATCCTCAATGACTTTTCCACAACTCATACCATAATTAACATTTGCAGTTTATAATTCAGACATAGCTTTCATGATATGAAACTCACTACATTAATACGTAGCAGGTTATAGTATAGTCACAATGTTATACAGTTGTTACCATTATCTACCCATAGAACTTTCCATCCATCAGCAGAAATGTTCCCTAGTTTCTTCCTGACATTAGTTTCTTGACCCTTCTCGTTTCGTTTTTCAGTGCCAGGGGTTGAGTGGGTCCTCACAGCTGAGGCAAGCATCCCAAGCCACGCCCCTCGTCTTTCTTATCTTATTTTCTTGGTCAGTTTTAGAAAAGACTTTAGTAAAGGTTTGTTGATCTTTTCAAAGGATTAGCTTTTGTTTCATGATTTGCTCTATATCTTTAATTCTCAACGCAATTAACTCATGCTATGAGTTTTTAATTATTTGTGGCCTTCTGCTTGATTTTGATTTCCCCCCCCTCTCCTAGTTTTAACATAAAAGCTTTGGTTACTGATTGGAGAAATGTACACATTCGTGGTGTAAACGTTTTCCCAACATTGCTTTAGCTGTTTTGATTTCAAGACAGGTTCTCGATATGTAGCTCAGGTGCCCCCCAAACTTGAAGTCTCATGCTTCAGCCTCCTGAGGGCTGGGATTGCAGGTGTGTTTTGACATGCTGTATTTTCATCTTCATTCACTTGCAAAATATTTACTCATTTCCTTTCTAAACTCTCATTTGACCAGTGATAGCACTCTCTTCTGCCTGCACAGAACATCATGGGTAACTGGTGGTGAGAGCTCGAGGCTCTCAGATCTTTCCTAAGCATGAGTTGGACTCCATGCATGTTAGAGTCCATGGATGGGGGATATGCTGGAGATTTTTAAGGCTCCTACACCTCTTATTCCTTTTTTTTTTTGTTAGTGTATCATTTGTGTCAAGGAATTTCTAATTCCTCAGGTAATAAGAGCCCAATTATCTATCTGAGACTGTTTCCAGCAAGTGCCCCTTGGGTGTCAGATAAGCACTGAAAGAATTCTCAGTTAACAAAGACAAAGATTTTGAGACATTCTTCCAAGAAAGACACCATTGAGACAGTCCAAGTAATTTATCACGAATACAACCTGTCTGGTTCTTGAACCAAGAACATGGCTATTTTTTTTCATAGCTTCACAACTGAAGAATGGACTAGGGTCAGTGAACATGGTACAACACACAGCATGCTTACCAACTCTAAGACCATTTTTCTTGTCTTAATGCTCCTTAGGCTGCTGCAAACCTTCTGTAATTTCCCAGGACCCTGAAAACGTGGATTCTGACAGTTTTTTTCAGTTTTTGTTGCTGTTACAGAAGGGCGGAATTTTGTAGTTCGCATCTCCACCATCTTCACTGATGTTACTCTCTGAGTAAATTTGAGACAGAAAGAGCAAAGCAGGAGACACCTACAGGGCAGATAAGACCTGAAAATAGTCTGAGCTTGTCTAAGACCAGTAACCACCACTGTGTCAGGTACTGGGCTGATTGAATTGTCACAGAAATGATGAGGTAGAAGTTACGATCCCTTCCACGGGGTGTGAGGTGTGTATGGGTGTGTGCGTGAGAAAGACTGGAGGTTGAGGTACTTCCTCAGTGATAGACAGCGAGTATATGGTGATGTCAGTTTCATAGTAGGCGTCTGACTCTGAAGCTTCTGCTGTAACCACAGGCTATCCTGGTACAGGTTGAACCACCTAATGTTACAGGAACCTGGGGCAAGTGTAGGTCCAGTTCAGCAAAGTCAAGAAAGACACACTGAGGCAAACCCTTTTGAATAGGACATCTCTGTCCCAGTGCTGGAGTACTGCATGGGCAGACTAAGAGGTGCTTAAGGTATTGAAGTACTAGAACTTAGTTGGATATTTACATGTTTGAATAAAAGCGTAGTTTTATATCTTCTACCACCACCTAAGGAGGAACACAAGCCACACAGGCTTCCTTGCTGTTTTTTAGATATCCTGAACATGCATCTATTTTCCCAGGTCTTTGCTGTTTCTCTTTTGATAGTTGTCAGGGCACTGAAGAATCTTCATCTGGCCCCAAGATCAACCAAGGTTAAGGCCAAATAGGGTAGACTTCATTCTTTTAATATTTCTGTAGCAACCATACTCTGAAAACATAAGTCACCTTTAGAATAAATATATATTTAAGACATGCTACAGGCTATGTGTTGAGCATTCATTGTTAAGTATGACAGGAGTTGTTCCTAAGAGAACCTGTCATCGTATGTGAGGTTGTTGTTTAACAAAGTGGCAGATGAATTAGGCCTTGGCTGGTGATTTCTGGTTGCTGAAATGAACCACCCAAATCTGGATGGATTGTAGAGAAAAGAGTCTTAGCTCACAGTTTTGGATGCTGACGACCAGGTATCCCTGTCTGTCCAAGTCTGTGGTGACCGCCACATTGGTGGCATCTCAACATAGCGGATATCCAGAAAGAACTGCGCGTATGAAGTGCCTTTGCTTCTGAACAATACCTTCCTCGGTTACTGACTGGAGATGTGTACAAATTGCGAACTGCATCATCCCTGCTGAGGGGCAGGGCCTCCAGTGATTTAACCAGCTTCTGCTAGGCCCTGCCTCTTAAAAGTTTTTCTTAACATTGCTATCCCAGAGACCAATATTAACACATGAACCATTTGGGGACACACACAATCTGTACACAAGCCATAGCAGATCTAGGTGGGTAGATCATAACCAACAGGCTTGCTTTGCATGCAAGATCTAGCAAGGTGACATGATCACATTCAGCTCTGCAACACCATCAATAAAAAAGGCATTGTATTTGTCAGAACTGAATAAAGCAACTTGAACCCTGTAGTTGGAGAAAGACTGCTTTGGAGGCATATATCTGGGTTTTTCCCTCGCTCCCTCCTTGTCTATTGGTCAACACAAAAAGACACATGTCTCATCCCAAAGTATAATTTCCTTTAAGGATGATGATTGTTGGAAGGAATGAAAGTCAATTTAATTAAAGACCAACAAAGAGAGTCTATAAATTTAAGATGTCTGTTTATATAAAACTAATCATTAGCCTTCTACTGTCCTTTCTCACATAACAACACTTTTCTAAAAGGAATAAGAAAACAATTCTCAATATAAATAAGTAGCTAAGAATCAAATTGCATGGAAAAAAATAAATGGCCATCTGATGTATTAGACCTCTCTCCCCAAATCCCCCTTAAAAACCCTGAAGTAGCGCCCTTTCTCAAACAAGTGCAGAATGGGAATGGGATGGCTGATGGTTAATGCTTTAAATCTAGAATAATGAAAGATAGAAACACTACCTTAAGGATAGATATGGTTCTTACCTCCCAACTGCATACAGATACTACAGACCACAAGCAAATCCAAGAGTCTTCCAGGAGGGGGGTGCTGCCTGTTGTTCTGTTCCCTTCCAGGGAGGTGCTGCAGGTATCTCTTCTCTACCTCCGGGTCATCAGTGCCTGTGGAGATGGCAAGATCCGCATTTATAATTTCCTCAATGGGAACTGTCTGAAGGTGATAAAAGTCGATGCCAGAGGTGACCCGGTGCTATCCTTCTTTTATCGGGGCAACAGGTGGGTGGTAGGTAGATGTGTGGGGCAGAACCATGAGCAATTCTTTGTGATATTTTTCTTCCTTCTTTGGGACTCTGGATTTATTGGCAGAGCAGAGTAGGCCATGCTTCCCTCCAGCTTGGCTGAGGGAAGTATCCCCTATGGGATTAACTGACCTCTAGCCTGGACTTAGTGATGGGGGAGGCACAATTAGAGCTGTATTTTCTCTTAAGGGTGTCACCATGCCTAGCTTGGATGATTTTCTTTGGGTTTGAGTAAATGGAAACCTGACGGAGACTTCTTAATGGAATCTGATTTCTCAAACTCTGTTTCAGCATTTCTAGGCCAAACAAGACACTTTCCTAGAGTTTACACTGCAAGTTAAAGTCTTAAAACTACAGTATTTAGGGAGGAAACACACACACACACACACACACACACACATGCACGCACACACACGTGCATGCACACACATGCATGTATTTCAGTTTCTTCTTATATGTTCAAGAAATCTAGACACACATAGAGGAAAGCAGCCTGCTTTGTGCAAATGAAAAAAAGAAAATAAAGGTGAAAGATATGAGTGAGAGATGGGAAGTGTGTTGGGAGGGGGTGGGAAATGTGAGTTCCAAAACTTTGTTCACTGGGGAGTGAGAGTGAGAATTAGAGGCAGCTGAAATCACCATGCTTTATAAAATGTCCCCACTATGTCCAGAGATCCCAGAGGACACTATGAAGCTAGCTGTGTGGGGCTTTGTGTGGAAGCTAGCAGAGGAGAGGAGACTTACTCATTGATAGTTTTTATTCCAAGGGTAAAAACAGAGCATTGAATGTAGACATTGAGCTTAAAAAGAAGAAAAAAGTGCATTTCCAGCTATCTGTGTGCGGGACACCTAAGCTTTTGTCTTGGGCATCCTAGGTTCTTGGCACTCCAGAATTGGGAATTCACTGAAAAGGTATTCCAACTTGAGCAGTGAAGCAATCATGATTAACTTACAAGGAACACAGTCACAAAACTACCCATCCCTATCTGACGCTCCACTGCTTTCACCCAGCAACACCCTAAACCAGCCCGTTCCCATGGTCATTGCCTTGCCCCAGCTCCCAAGCCTAGGGATCAGATAAGACACAACTGTAATGTATGTTTTGGTGGTCTCCACGCTCCTTTGTTGGGCACTCTTATTTTGGTTCCAGGATGGTGGTCCAGACGGACAGCAATATTCTCATGTTCCAGTTTGAAAACGTAAAGTGGCAATATACAGACAGAGGCAAAGCAAAGAAGAGTAAGGATAAGGAGGAGGAAAGGGAAGACACCAGCCTTGGGGATGCATACTCCAAGTCTAGCACTCAGGTTCACAGCCTGAGAGATTCTGTGTCTAGTAAACAGACTATGACCCAGGAATTCCTATCAAACAAAGCTCAGAAGTCCCGAGTTCTTCTGAAGTCAAACAAGAGGCTGTCTTCAGGTAAAACAGCAAGATTATGTGATTTCACAGATAACCAGTGGGGATGGGCAGTGTGTGCATGTGTGTGTGCATGCGTGTGTGTGTGTGTGTGTGTGTGTGTGTGTATGTGTTTACTTGCATGTGTGTTCACAGAGACAGATGGGGTGGGGGGAACTATTATGAACATTTAATTAAGCTACTACTTCTGTCCTGAGGAGAGTTATTATTCACAGGAAATTGTTCTATACAGAATGTGTTGTCATTAGACTTCTGAGAGAGAATCCATATACCCAAAGATGCTAGTTATAAGGCAGGCATGTGTGGATGTGTAGGTGGGGTTATATGCCTGGTTCCTTGCTATTTAAGACATCTAAAGAGCAAGACATTTGTGAGTTAGAGTAGCAAGACTCCTTCATGGTACCTGTCCTCTGTGGCATGAAGTTGGATCAGGATCTACAGAGAACACTAACAGGTCACCTTTAAGCACAGCACACTGCAAGTGACCAGTTAATTCTGGAGAAACTGATTGTCAGATGCTGAAATCTTGATATTCTGTAGGAAGGGGAGTCATGGCAGAACCTAGATCTTGGAGCCAGGCTTAGTGTCAGCAACATGGATCTTACAGTGGCACCTCAAGTTAAAACCAGTTGAATTGTTGTAGCTCCACTGCTCAGATCTAATCAAATTGCATAATGACTGTGGTTTTTTCTTCCATCTTAACATAATCATGTTAATAGAGGCACATGAACAAGGAAAACCAAATGCACCCCAGAGGGATGTCAAGAAGAAAGCTGGTGGTGACTTGGAAGATGGGCTAGAGAATCTGGAAGCAAAACCTGACGCTGAAGAGAAGATGAGCGGTGATATTTTACTTTGAATAAGAGCTAAGCTCTTTCCCACCTCCAGTCTCTCTCCCCTAGCTGCTTTTTTTTTTTTTTTCAGCCCAAACTTCTGCTTCTTTGGGAGCAGTGTTAGGCTTTCTTCAAGGAAGGACTGGTTTCCCACTGGCTCCTCCTAAGAGGGATCAGTTTCTTATCTCATTACTAACTCAAGGCAAACTAAGCCTTTCTGAGCCCCTTACCCATTTCTTATTTCTGCCTCCCAGCTGGCTCCCTCTTGCATTGTGTCATTCAGAGTAATGGGCACATCAGAAGAAGGAAGAGGTGTCAGGCTAGTTGGAGGGGATTTCTTGAGAGAGGAGAGAGATTGGAGTGTGAATGGAATGTGGTGTGTGTGGTGTGTGTGTGTGTGTGTGTGTGTGTGTGTGTGAGAGAGAGAGAGAGAGAGAGAGAGAGAGAGAGAGAGAGAGAGAGAGAGAGAGAGAGAGAGAAGGAGATGAGGGAGAGAGTGACAGGAATGAGATTTTAAGAAGTACTGTTAGATACCACGGCTAGGATGCCTCTTTGATATTTTTGAAAGGCATTGGCAAACATTTCTAATGTTATTTGACTAGTAATAATTTTCCTTTGAAACAAATTTCCCATGCAGACTGGTTTCAAAGTGAGTCAAACAATTAAGATTTAATAATGGTCTACCCTAACCATGGACATCCTATATTCGTGCACACATACAAGTGTAGCTATAGAGTGAAGTCCTAGGAATAAAACTGTGTGCCAAAGGACAAATATACTTAAAAACTAGAGAGTTACTGTTATGGTTGAATGTAAAAAACAAAATAAAACAAAACACAAACCCACAGAATCAATTTATACTCACATCAACACTGTGAGTGCCCTCACCACATGCAAACCAGCTCTGAGGACTTCCTGTCTCGTTATACCTGCTTAAGTGATGAACAAAAATGTTATTTACATTTCCTTAAGGTTGCTCATTAACAAATATAATGTCCATCAGAGTAGGCAATGGTAAATAGTAAACCCAACTCATCACTATGGATGTTACATAACAACCAAGATACAAACCATGAAGATCTGTATGTGTACTGACTTGCAGATTTAAGATATATTATCATACAAAAAAATATCCATGTTTTCTGGATTTGGAAGGAAAGAGGACAAGTCTGACAACCTAATTATCCCAGTTATTTAATGTTTTTTTTAAATAAAAGATTGTTTAATTGGCAAAACAAAGATCAGGAACACTTGGAGTTTCACACTATCCCCATCTGTCCCTTTTGGGATACCACCCAATGGCCAAGGGAAATTATATGCGCAATACCCGGTTGCTGTTGCTTTGTTGGCAGAACTCTCGGTTCAGATTGTTGTTAGGCAGCTGAGTTCTCCTTTGCTTGACTCAGTTAGTTTTTTTTTTGAAGACAAGGGCCTTGTTTTTCTGGAGGGAAGAAAAAACAAAAAGGCAAAATGGGAACACTGTAAGAGATGGGTTTATCCAAGAAGACATCTTTGTTTACTTAGTGGTCTTAGATACTACAAGGATTCAGGCAAAATACTAGCCTGCCCCTGACATCTGGCAGAATGTACTTGGCAGTATCATGGTCAGCATGCAGGTGCAAAAAATCCCTTTTAAAAGAAAGACACCTGGCCCCTTTTCCTGCCGTTCTCCTGGGGCAGACAGGACTTTTCCTGTCTCCTTTTTTCTTCTGTCCTCTCACTCTGTGTCTCTTTACCTCTTTTCTCTTTCCTCGCTTTATCATAGTAGATGCCTCGACTATAAAGTGGTTTGTAGAAAGGATTCTGTTTTCTGGTGAATATTTTGGATTCGTAACTATTGACCAAAACATTCTGGGAACTCTTCTTTAAGAATCTAGCTTTAGCCATGCTAGCTAGTATAGATTGCATTAGGCAGGAGTGACATTCTTAGAATCCAGGCCTGATTCTGGGAAACATAAACCAAAGCTGGCTAATTAAATGAGAACTAATCTTTGTAGTATGACTATTGATGACAATGTAGGTATACTATAAATCTACAAGACCTGTTTTAAGTGAGTCATGAATAAGATGTGAGAGTCATTTTCACAGGAATTTTTGAGCATGTAGAACATTAGAATTACATAGGTTGCCTTGAAAATATGACAACTGACATGATTATTTGTACAGCCATTAAAAACAAGCCCTTTCTGCTGTCATCATTTCTGATGTCATCTGGGATATTTGATAGCATGCCTTTTGGGCAACAAAACCTCAGCGTGCCTAGCAGTTAGAATAGCTTCAGCATTTATGTGTAGATGGTCCCTATTTTCCATGGGATGCTTATATGCCTTTGTTTTCTTTTTGAAGGAGCAGATGATGTGGAAAGTCCTGCAGAGGAAATCAGTCATCCAATGAAAAAGTTCTGGAAAATCCCTATGACACCAGACAGATTCCTTCTGACCGTCAATGCTTTGCAACAAGTACACAATTCTGAAGAATTTGCCTATCCCCACAGGCCCCATACTCCAGTCATTGATGCCTGGGGACCTTCAATTACATATCCAAGGAAAGTCCTAAGCTTCAAAGGAAAATCAGTTCAACATGCAGTTGACCAGCTGAGATCCAGCAATCATCTTACTGATGTGAAACAAACCAATATTCCCCTTGAAATCCAAAAACTGAAGCCCAACTTGAAAAAATCCTTGCATAGTTCCAGAGTCCAGTCCACCATACCCCAGCCCAGACTTATCCGTTCCAGAGCCCCTGATAGCTTAAAGGGCGAAGAGCACTTGACCAGTTCAATTGATGGGTCGATGCACCGGGCTGGCCCCCTGACCAGCATGCAGGTCATTAAACCAAACCGAATGCTTGCTCCCCGAGGTGGCACAACTACCTTGTCTCTCAAGAAAGAACGGCCACGTTTCTATACAACCCTGGATCCTCTTAGAATGAATACCGGGTTCATGCTGTTGACTGTGAAGGAGGAGAAAGAATATGGAGAAGCCAAGATGAAGGAATATCAAGCTAGTGAATCCACTAAAGTAGTTGACCCAGGTAAAGCCAGCAAAGCTGCGTGGATTCGTAAGATCAAAGGCCTGCCTATTGATAATTACATGAAGCAAGGGAAAACAGCGGCCCCTGAACTTGGACAAAATGTGTTTATCTAAACCAGGCTTGGGAACTTACAGCACCATTACAACAAACAGAAAAACAAGTAAGCGATGGTGTCTGGACCTTTCTTTTCTTTTCAACATTTCTTTGGCAATTTACATGAACCTTTCTAGGAATCAAAGAACAAACATTATTACACTAAGACAAGAGGAAACAGGGAGAGAGTGCCATCTGCCTTCCACTTAGTGAGATGTAGGTGAGTTCACTGGTGGGTGTCCCTGTGATGAGGTCATCATTGGCAGTTAGATGTCAATCATCACTGCCAATTTAGGGTTGTCATTGCCTCCAGAATCTTTTAAGTAAATATCAGGATATATAGAATATATAGAAATTTCCTGGTATTTTAGCATAGAATAAAATAAAGGTCAGTTCTGGTAAGGAGGGTGGGGAGCACAAAAGGTTGAGTTGTATTTAGAATACTGTATGTGATTTCACTGGTCCGAACATACTCCATCCGACAAAAATGAAGCATATTCATATTTGATACAGAAGAGTCACTAATACCTAAGAGTAGCTCACCAGCAGAGATATGGTTCACTGAAGTCCTCGGGATCTGTAGAAAAGGTATATAGTCCCTACACAGAACCAGTCAGACCTTCCCCTTCATTAAGTCCCCGCTCTTAGGAGGTTAAGGTAGGATGGCTGAGCATCTAAGTCAGTTGGTACTACAAGGCAACACCCTGTCTCAAAAGCAAGCACACCCACCCCATCCTCCTAAAAGAAAAGAAAGAAAGGAAGGAAGGAAGGAAGAAAGAAAGAAAGAAGAATCCCCCAAACAGGTCAGAAATTCACTTTCCTGTTAAATGTTCCTGTTAAATTAAAAAAAAAGGTAACAAATTCAAATGGCATTCATATAAAAAATGAAAACAACCAAAAGATAACTACATATAACCCTACAATACAGAGTTGGCCCCTAAAAGCATGCTTCAAGCAGGTTAGGACATAGGTCATCTGTCCACCGTCACACCCGTGTGTGACCTCGATGAGTTTTCTCTCCTTTGGGAACTATGTTGATGTCTCTTCACTATTCTGACAGTAGGTTTGAAATAGTTCTGGCAAAGTGCCAGATAAAAATCTGGGTTTTGGTGAACAGAGCCTCTTCAGTTAAGAAAAGGTGGGGATGGACAGTGCAGGAGTATTCCAACACTCTGACAGAAGCCGAGCAAACAGAATATTGCTGTCATTACAGTTTCAAAGATGGCTTTAAATTCTCTGAATTTAGGTCTAGGCAGATCACACAATCAGCAGGTGACTTAAAACAGTAATAAAAACAACGCCTGGCATTGTACTGCCAACTGCTCTGTTAAGCCATTACTATTTTTCCCGGAGAAAAGATACACACAGAGGTTGGTTATATAATTGATTTATAGGGGGCAGACGCGGAAACCCAAGAGCCTGAGTGCTAGGGCTCATGGGACCAGCCTCTGCCTTTACTGCAATACACCCTCTGCTTTAGTCCTCTTGCCTTTTTCTTACTCAATTTTTTTTTTTTTTCACTTCTTTCCTAGGACACATTTACTTCTCAGAGCATCCATTCTGGTAGTAATGACTCACAGATTGTACTTCACAGGTAGCAAACACCATTTTCCTTCATAACTCATGAAGTTTCCCTTTAGAACCTACTAAATTAGCCAACTCATTCCCAGGTGTTTTGCTTCTGCTTTGAGAAGCAGCTCCTGCCCCGCCCGCGCTCGCCCCGCCCACCCTCGGTCCCGCCCACCTTCGCTTCGCTCACTACGCTGTGCGGGTATGGCTCCGCCCATACGCCCCGCCTCCTACTGCGCGCATTCGCCATTTGGACACTTCCCCCGCCCCTCCTGCTACGTGGTCCTGCCCTCTGAGTCATGGACCCGCCTACCGCTCTTCCGGTCCGGAGAGTTGATCCCTCCCACTAGCCTCACTGAAAAGGAAGTGTTGCCGGCAAGAGGCTTCCGGTTGGCCCTGGAGGTTGGCTTTCTGGCCAGTGGCAGCCAACGCGCGTCAGTTTCACACCAGACCGGGTAGCAGCTGCGCTGACGTGGATCCCGGAAGTTGGGGGTGGGGTTGGCGCAGGGCCGTCATGTTGTCGCAGGTGAGGGAGGGCGGCCGGGTGCGATCGCTTGAGTTGGGGCCGAGGGACCTCTCCAGCCCCCGAGGCTGTTGTGTCCGTGTGCTTGCCCACTGCGTGAGCTGGAGGAAGGGCAGGCTGGGTGGGCAGAAGTGCAGGGCTCGGGCCAGTTGTCGCTAGAGAGTTCTGTGCGCTCCGAGGGTCGGATGGACTAGGGGCCCAGGAGTAGTAGAGCTGAGGATGCTTTGTCTGTAGAGGCGGGTCGCCAGCGGTCGTAGAACTCCGGCTGCAGGAAGCTCTGGGGATGATGTCTGGGTTATCCGGCTCTCCGCAGCCCACCCGGATGAGGGGAGCGGCCTGCAGGCATCATCAACTCTCCTGCCCAAACACTCAAGTGCGGGGGTCCTGTAAGGAGAGGAGAGTACCAGAACCTTGGTTTCCAGTAGATGTTACCACGCTGTTACATTGATAGTCAACGATGGCTATCACATTTGTGCCCCGAGGGATCGTAGTAGCCAGTTGTCTTTCTGCTAGAGATTGATTAGTAAATATACCTTCCTTTACAAATTTACTATGAACTCCCATTTAGAGTATGTATGTATGTATGCATGCATGCATGCATGCATGCATTTCTCATTTTATAAGTGATTTCCTGCAGGATTACCATGGCTCAGTCAACTGCTCCAGGTCCAGAATAGGACTGAATAACACAGACAGGTTTCTTGTCCCGCATTGTGAAGTTGGGGTTAGGGGTGTGGGGAGGGAAGAGGCTAGGTTGGGGAACAACGTATTTTCGGAACATAATAGCAAAGACATGATAGTGGCATGAATGTCTGAGGATGAGTCAACTAGACTGACTATACGATCAGAAAAGTCTGCTGTGGGGAAATGTGGAGTGGGGGAAATCCGTTGGTGGGGATTCGACTCCGCTCCCTGAAGGTGCACCCAGGTTGAAGGGTGCTGGGGAAAGACAGCCATGCTGGCTGTTCCTAACTGTTGCTCCTCTTAAGCCTGTGACTGTGAACCTTGGATAAACACCTGCTGAGCATTTGGCATTTTTGTAGTTTCTGCTTTCCCTTCCCCAGGCAGCCTTTGCATTAAGACTTTTCTTCAAGTTTAAATATTTATCCCTTTGTCTTTTTCTGTGCCTGATAGTCTTGCTGTTTGTTTCACTGAGATGCAGCCCACCAAAGGGATTTTCATACGATCCCTTCCTGACTGCATCCCCCCCCCCACACACACACGTTCTTTTGTGGATTCTGTGGTACTGCTCCATTCCTGGGTTGCCACGAATGCACTGGCTTCGTGCTCACTGGGAAGTTACGTGTTCAGTAGTTGTTGCACTGTTGATGGCCTTCCCCCTCTCACCTTTTTTTTTTTTTTTCTTTTGGAAACGCTTGTTCATGTTAGCACAAAAACATGCTTTAGTTTTTTCTTTGAATATCCTCTCCAACTAGTGATAATCATCTTGACTCAGACTTCTTCTGAGTGCTGGGTTACAGGTACAAGGAGCCACACTTGTAATGTCTATTAAAAGAGTCGACTCCCCAGGTGACATCTGTGATGTCACCCCGTTCATTGTTCTTGAAACACTTGTGCATGCTTGTATTTTAAGTCTGTCTCATCAGTTCAAGTTGTTAGTTCTCCCCGCTTCTCTGCTGTTCTGTATGGAAGGAGTTCACACAAGAATCTCAGAAGCCCAGTGGTCATTTGTTTTTCTCTTGCTAGCAGCATTCTTCAGTTGTTGGGATCCTTCTGGGAGCACTTTCTTCATCTTCCGGGATCATAACTCTGGTGTGAAGGATTTTATATATTGATTAGAAAGACAGTTGAAAGGAAGAACAGGAAGAAAGTGCTGCAACAAGTCCTAGACGCCTGACAGGTGTTTAGCCTCAGATAAGAGAAAGCTTTGTGAGGAGTCAAGGAAACAGGATGCAGTCACATGATTTTCCGAGTTTATCCCCAGTAGCTTCAGTTTTCTCTGTGACTTGGGAGAGAGTAGTTTATGATCGCTGTCAGCTTTTAGGAGCATCATCTGCTCCTCCATGTTCTTTCAGGGCTCAGGCTGATGTTAGCTGATTATTAGATTGTCATGGGGGAGTTGTTGTTTGTTTGTTTGGTTTCAGATGATTGGAGTTGGGATGGAGGATCTGCAGGTGTCTCTTTTCCTAAGCTGTGAATTCCTGGTAGTTGTAACTCATGATTTCACCTTTCATTTTGAGGATTGTATGGATTTGTTTGTAGTAGGCATACACACACTGGATTTCATTTTTATCATAGATCTTTAATTTCCTAATAGGATAGCAATGATGATACTGAAGATGTCTCACTGTTTGATGCAGAAGAGGAGACGACCAATAGACCAAGAAAATCCAAAATCAGGTACAAGGTTGAATTAGAGTTGTGTTTCCTTCTAATCTATTGTGTTTGCCATTGGTGTCAGCTGATGGGATTTGTGTTGACTTTTGCTTTGTTTTTGTTTTTGTTTTTTGTTGTTTTTTGACACAGCCTCACTATGTAGTCTTGGTTATGCCCTAGTGCTGCAGTTAAAGGTGTGAGCTATCACGATAATTCAGCTCAATATCCCACTTTTTGATGTGAGAAAACATCTGACAAAACAAAAGAGAAAAAATAGTTTTTTAAGTGCATTGGGAAGTTTCAGTGCATGGGTACTGTTTTTATTTGGCTGCTTCTGGGCCCATGGGACAGAAGGATGTAGTGGAGAAACGCGGTTCATCTTATGTCAAACTAGAAACAGAAAGAACCATAACCTGCCCTAAGTGACCTGCTCCATCTAGATAGGCCCACCTTCTAAGGTTTTTATCCCCTCTCACACCAGTACTGCCATCTTGGGGTTTGATCTTCAAAAATAGCCCATGGGGTATTCAAGGCAGAGTAGGTTAGTTATGCTAGTGACTTGAAGTTTTCTTAGGAGTAGTTGGCATGTAGAATTTCATTCAACACTGAACTTTAAAATTAGCAAATTTGAAAAATCAGTTA